CCAAACTTACTTTGAATGTACAACCTAATCTAACTTTGTCTCTCCCTCTCGTCCAGTGTCTGAATGCCAACTCTGTGGGTGATGGAGTTGAGCAGGCAACTCTGTGGGAAGATGAGGAGATCCAGTAAGAGGGTCCAACTGTCCTCTTCTCCTTCTTCCATTCGGGGCTTGGAAATCCACTTTTACACAGAGGAGGTGCAACCGATAGAGTACTTCAAAGGCTGCTTCACCGCATTGGAGCTCGGTGTGGAGGCTGCAAAGAAATGCTGTGAGTGACTGAACTGTATAGCTGGCAAAATGAAGACGTGCCTCCTCTCCTTATTTATTCAGTGTATTGCCTGTAATGAACAATCTAATGTTAACTGTGATTATAGTATCTGACACATCAGTTGGAAATTACCCTTATCACCATTTTTATATATTGGATTCTCACCTTTTAAAGGACATTGTATAAAGCTTAAAAATAATGTTAATCTTTATTAAACATGTACTGTACTCAATAACAATCTCACAGAGTATAACTTATCTTCTCTGTGAGAACATTTGTCACTGCCTTACCTCTAAGTGCTGCCATTCTGTTGTTAAAATCTGCAATCAATTGCAACCACAGTTTTGAAGCTATGCATCAAATATTGTAGAACTATACTAAGTGCCACTATTGGGGAAATAGCATATTCCCATCTTTACGCAGCAAATAGTAGCTGACTGGTTAGCAGACTGTGGTTGGCTTATGTAAGATTATTGACATGCTTCTTATCTTATAAGTAGATTGGTTGTTGCTCTTAAATCCTCTCTTTGGACAGAAGGCTGTAAAATAACCCCAACACCCAATACAATAATTGGTCTGAATATTGATCTTTTTTTCCTTTGTTCTCTTTTCCTTCTCAGCAATCTCTCCCTTGTGCCATAACCTATATGCCCTTTACGATGAGACAACTTGCACATGGTACCCCCCCACCTTTGAGTTCAACATCACAGATGAAACCAGTGTCAAGTTGCACTATCGCATGAGGTAAGACTACACTGGAGTTTTCAATCTTCCATTTAACTTCATTAAGTGCGGCTGTGGCTAAGTGGATAGAGTGCTGGACTTCGAATCAGGGGGTAGCAAGTTCGAGTCCCACTGCAGTCAGCATGTCGTTGTGTCCCTGAGACGCTTCACCCCAAATTGCTCCTGTGGGGATTGCCCACAGTACTGAGTAAGTCGCTTTGGATAAAAGCGTCTAACAAGTGACATGTAATGTAATTGAATCATCTCATATTTTGTGTAATGTTTGAGATGGTGGAAATATGACATTGATAAACATGACACCCATCACCCAGCCTGCAACATTAGTAAAGGGTATCTGTACTTTGCCAGATGAGCCACAGGCAAAAGCAGGTACTTTGGAATGCTCAGTCCTGACTTTGTAAACTGGCTCCTGGTATGTGGAATGTGTCGTTCTTGTGGGATGAGCAGTAGGTAAAGCGATACCAAACTAACAGCGTGCCATAGCAAACCAGCCTGCAGGCCAACATCTATGTGAGTTTTATAAATGGATTTATGTTAGGGCTGCTCAATTAATCGTATTCTAATCGCAATTACGATTATGGCTTGCAACGATTACGAAAACAACGTAATCGAAATAAAACGAATTATTTATTATTATTATTACTTTTTTTTTTTGAAATAATTTTTTTTTATTATTGGATTTTCAGTTGAATTATACTTAAAGTTCAGGGTATTCAACTGTTAAAAACATACTGTTCACATTTTTTTCTCCAATAAATTGAAGTTTCCAAAGTAAATGGATAATCGTTTTTAATAATCGTGATATCAATTATTGACCCAAATAATCGAGATTATGATTTTTGCCATAATCGAGCAGCCCTAATTTATGTTTCACCATAAGTGATGAGGGAGCAGGCCATCTACATTCCAACCGTTCTCATTATTACAGGAGATCTGGGTAGTGAGCAGAAGTGAGATTCAGGTGGCTGACATGTGTTTGCTTAAAGTGCTGTTCCTCCATGTTGAAAGGATACCATTTGGATTAGGATAACTCTTGTAGCTGTCCCTTTGGGCCTTTTTAGAGGCCGTGTTCAAATTGGAGGAGACAGTGCGACTAAATGTGAATACATAACAGGTATTACATAATATCCTACTCAATGACCCCAAAAGACATGGGAAGTTAGGAAAGTTTGTTTCCCATGCTGCCATCATTAAATAATGGAATATTGTGAGGCTTGTATATGTTGAATCTAGAAAGTGTCTAGCTCTGAGGATACATACATGTGTCTTTAGTAGAATAAATTAAACCTTTGAAATATTGTCAACGTTTTTGGTTTTTATTTGATCTATAGGGCTCCTTTAGTTGTATGCAACTGGGTCCTTTGCAAATTCACATTCTCTCCGCAGTGTTTTAGCGCCGGCCATAATGATCATATTGTGGACAGAGATTTATTTTTGAAGGGGATTAGAAGAGAAAAAGACAAATATATCTGGAACAATTTTATGAGACTAACCAGCAATGTTATATTTGAGACTCACTGGGATCATTTGAAGAGAGCAAAGACCCCCTTTAGAGAATTGATTTGACATGTCAGGCCAAATTTCATGCAAAGAGGAGAAAAACATTACTGTGGTCGTGTTAACTGCACTTCCTCTTAAACTTTGCTCTGCTTTGACAGTAGCTAGTGAAGGCAGAGAATAGCGCGAGTGCATAGAGCCTAACTGTGGTGTGTACTACTATGTGTGTATTTGTGCTGAATGCTGTAGCCTGCCCTGCGTTCTGCTGTAACCCTCTGCATAACAAGGAGATCATTGTGGTCAAGTCTGGATACACAAACAACTTTAGCATAAACAAATGTTTAACACAAACACAGGGATTAGGTGCCACCAGTTGACAGGAACGTGAGGCTGAACTTCAGACACAGTGGGGCTTTTAGAAAATACAGCATCGGGAACATTGTTACTATGTTAAGCCCTGGAATGTTGCTCTAGACAGAAAAATGCCGGTATGTGTTGCTGCATCTATTTCAGTTATTTAAATATATATTATTTTTCTTTGTTTTTCGAATGTTGTCTTAATGGGGTTTTGCCCTACACCGTCTCTGCTGTTGGGGCTTGAAAGGGTATTTACAGATGTGTGGCTGAAGAGACAGAGAGGATGGTAAGCCGGAAAAGCACAGGCTAATGAAAAGAAAAGCTTTATTATAAAAAACAAAAACAGGCAAGCAGGTCAAAACCTAAAAGGGAAGAAATATGCCCAGTGATTGAATTCTGACATTTGTGTTGAGGTGACGAGCCTCTTTTATCTTCACTGCTTCAGAATGTTATGGGCTTTTTGTTTAGTACATACCAATAGTCTACCTGTATACATTAAATGATCTGGAAATGGAAATAATATTTAAAAGTTCCACTACTTTCAACAAATGCCAAAATCCCATAATCCCATCTATGGAAAATTTGGAAATGCAATAGATTATTATTATTATTATCTATGGAATCAAACATACGTCATCTCCTCTAGAAATATTTCAAAAGAAAACGTAGTAAAGAGTTTGTGGACGTGTAAGGTCTAAAGTAGTTCACCCAAAAACACAAGAGGTTTTTGAATATTTCAATCGACATAAGACTCCTTTAATAACCTAATCCGTGACAGCCTGCTATACTCTAATTTGCCCCGGCCACAGTATCATAATCTTCGCAAATATTTGTACACTTTTGTCACATTTAATCCTCTGTCTGCAGGGTTTGTCATGTGCACAGTATAAATCAAGTTTCCCTGTAGAAAAATAAATCTTTATTTGGCTTCCACTTTAATGCCACATACAAGATATTTAAAGAAATAAATACAAGAACATTAAACAATATATAGAAGAGGTATAGAGTGTATATGTGTATACTGTATGTGTGAGGTGGGGACAGGGGGGGGGATTGCATTGGTATATCCTGTATTTTCATTGGCTCCTATATTGTTTAGACAACACACACTATTAACAAGAAATGTTTTTTCAGAGCACGACATATATATAAATCTAACCTTTATATGTTGCTCTCAAACTAAATGAATACAACTTTGTAATATGCCTAGAGGAACACGGAGTCATGTTATCTAGTAATGCCACACGCACGCACGCACGCACGCACGCACGCACGCACGCACGCACGCACGCATGCACGCACACACACACACACACACACACACACACACACACACACACACACACACACACACACACACAGTGTATTCATTCTGTTAACCCTTTATCTCCCCTGTCAGGTTTTATTTCAGAAACTGGCATGGCACCACTGAAGGAGAGTCTCCAGTGTGGAGGCACTGCATCAGTAAACTCAAAGGAGGACTCAGCCCCAAGAAAACTCCAGAAGGAACTCCCTTACTGGACGGGGCCTCTCTCGACTACCTGTTTTCCCAGGTGAAAAATAGCAACAAACAATAAAATACATACATATTTTACATTATCACAGGAGTGTTTTAAGCATGGCTGTAGCCTGTGTAAATTATATGTTGTACACCAAACAGCAAGAAAAATTGGAATCCACCCAAACATTTATTTTAAAGATTGTATTTGTTATTGCTTCCTTTTCAAAAGTATGTGTACTGATCATTACGATTAAGAGCTCAAACCTCATACTTCAGTTTCAAAACATCAACAGCTGAGAGGAAATGTAACAATACCAGGAAGTGCAGCTTAAAGTTCAGCATTAGACAGTCTAGAGCCACTGTTGTCAATACATTATTTTAAGCCATAAACGTACAGAAAAGTCTGAAAGAAGTTTTAACTCTTTCAAATGTTTGTTTCCTTTCTCCAATATAAACCTAATTTAATTTGTTAGATCTCCAAAATATAAGAAATCCTTCTGCTTTTTCCAAATAATGCAGTCTTCCATTAATTTGGTCATCATTTTTGGTCAGTCAAAACAATTATTTGAACTTGTTTATCTCTATATGCGTTTGGTGTATCTCTGTCAAATATAAATACTTTTTTCTTTCCCAGGGCCAGCATGACTTTGTGAAAGGCGTGGTTCCACTGAGGATCTCTCACTCAGAGGCAGACCAACACGAGATAGAAAATGAATGTTTGGGCATGGCTGTGCTTGCCATCACCTACTACAACATGAACATGACCACAGATATGTCCTCGCCCACGGCTTCCCATGAAATCAGGTAAAACCTTATCTTTGATAACGATTCCAAAATCAGCATGTATGTGGATTACACAATCATGTAAACGGCAGCCTCCTCGTGGAATCAAGCCATTGAGCTCTCTCAGGATGTTGTCATTTACAAAATTAATACAGGTCCTTGATTAAAAGTAAAGGGAGGAAGGAAGCTGATCCCATTATTTTTGACATTATAAGGTACCTGTATACAGTCACATCCTGCTAATACCAAGGCACATGGTTTAATAAAAGTTGTCTTTTAATATTGAATATCTTAGCTTTGGTTTTGGTTTTTCATCTTAAGGAATCTTTCCTTTTGAGGCCAGAAAGAACATTTTCCAAAGATCTTTTATATGTAATTAAATTACATTGATGGGATTTATATAGTTGCAACTTCATCTCTACTTGGAAAAACAGGTCCCACTGCAATACATTTAGTAAAAGTACAGGCTCAGAAACTCACCAGTGAAATTGTTTTAATGTCCCCATGGTGAACTCAGAGCTTGGTAAGACCAGGCATGGAATTAGTTGCAAAACATAATTTAGATCTTAAAATAGCATCCACATCTAAAAATGATATTGGCAGCCTTTTATGGCTCGTTCCATCCTGCCAATTTCTACCTGCTCGTTCCAACTGTCACCTCTCAGATAAGTGCTCTGTTCACATGCACATGTTGTTCCAAAAATCTTCTAGTTGCAAACTAAAGTCTAAAGAAAAAGTTGAAAGAACATAAAGGCACACAAAAACAGTTTTACTAACACAGGAAGTGAAATACCTGCTTATTGAGGGGTACTCCTTCATCAATAGGTTCTGAGAAATCATATTTTATTTTTCCTAATGTCCAAAACACTTTTAAGATAAGATGTACTTTATTGATCTCAGTTTGGGAAATGTTTGCGTTGCAGCAGCATAAAAAGACAAGGTATTGTACATTAGAGAAATTAAAAGACTAGAAATAAATAATTAAAAATGTAAACATCTCAAATAGAAATAAAATAGCATTAGAAAAAAGTAGAAAATATTTTGTTTTAGAGTATTTTTGCTTTTACAAAACATTGGAAGTTAAACATCTCTGTGTTCACCCCTCCAGCTACAAACGTTTCATCCCGGAGTCGCTGAACCTCAACATTAAGCGGCGCAACTTCCTGACACGCATCCGCATCAACAACGTCTTTAAGAAATTCCTCAATGAATTCAACCAGCGCACAATGAAGGACAGCAACATCACGCCGTACGACCTGAAGATCAAGTACCTGGCCACGCTGGAGGGTCTGACCAGCGGGCTGGGCAGCGAGCTGCAGGAGCCCCTGTCCCTCAGTGTGACCCAGGAGGGAGATCTCCTCAATGGAGGGTACAATGGTAAGATTTCATGAAGATGATTTAAAGGTGCAAAATGTACTTTTTGATGTCTTTTATACATAAACATGTGTGCTAGGGAACTCACAAAGTGTCAGGAAATAAAACCTTCTCTCTTTTCCTCCGTACCCACATCTCTAAAAACGGGGGTACAACGGAGCTGATCCAGATTTGCGTTCGATATGACGTAATATCCGAAATGTGGGCTGGCTTTACACCCATGGCCCTATCAGAAACGTCGCCATCAGAAACAATGCGCAACGTGTTTTGGATGTAATATGGTCTTTGTTTACATTAGCAAGCATCGCTAACACTCAGAGCTAACCTGTACTGGAGAGACTATGTGTAAAAAAAAGCAGGAAATAAAAAGAGAATCAGCGTTTCTCTAACAGGGCTGAAATAGAGGGATATGAGGGATGTCTAAAATGCATAATCTGTTTGGTATTTTGAGCAAAACACATCATAAATATGTTATTTATATATTTGTATATATCTGATAGCCTAAAAATAGCATGATGGGAGATCTTTAACATAATTTAAAGCTCCTAGGCACCGTTCCAGATTTGTGGCGTGCAACAGCTCAGGTTTTTACCTAGGAATTTTACTAGTACTATTACAGGAGATTATAGATTGCTAAGAAAGGAAACGATTTGTTTACCAAGATTATCTCCGTCAGAGTTGAAGACACAGTATAATAACTATGGAGAGAGATTGATAGAATGATCAGGATTACTATTTAAAATATTAAGCATGATGAGAAAAAATACAGTTACTACTACTGTGGGATATTCTTTGTGTGTATTGAACAGATTATATAACAACCCTAATCATTGCAAGCATACATGCTCAGAAACACAAACGCTAACTGTTCATCTGTGGAATGTTCTCATTATGGGAATCCTTGTACCTGTTTAGTTAGGAAGGGAATTGGCAGATAAAGACAGCATGGTCAAAACACTATTAAAAATGACCTAGGCCAGAATGTCAAAAACACTATTAAAAATGATTCAGGCCGAATCTTCATTACAAATGATCTAAGTCGAAATGTCAAACAAATGTGATTGAGTGCGGGGATTCAAGATGGTGGAATGAATAATGGTGTCCTACATAATGGAGGAAGTCAAGATAAAAAAAAAAAGGAGAGCCTGAGACTCTCCTGGTGCCTAGTACCTGAGATCATCCGATACTCCACTAATTAAACTGGGATGTAAGCCCACACACACACACACACACACACACACACACACACACACACACACACACACACACACACACACACACACACACACACACACACACACACACACACACACACACACACACACTATAGAAGGTGAAAACAACTGATAAGAGATGTGTATAAAAAGAAGCGTGAACATTGTAAAGGTAGTCACTCCATGGACCGACTCGTGTTTACTGTAATTTGTTGAATCTTCAGTTAACTCTATTCTATTGGAACTCTTTTGACTCTGTTGATTTTTTAAAAGTGAAATAAGTGTTAACATAGTGTTGTGAAGATCTCGAAGACATCCGGCCCAACTTCAGAGGTTTCTCCACGACACAACCAAAACAACTATAATTTGTTTGTTGTTATAATCCTATTGTGGTTAGCCAGGTGTTTACATGCAGAGGTGTCTTGCCCACAGTTCTATAAAAAAGAATAACAACATGTTTGAACTTGTTGACATCCAAATCTACCTCAGACATTGTGTGTGTATTTGCAAATAGTGACAAATCAAAAGTGAAAGAAACAAGATGTTTACATGCCACAGTACACCATAGCCTGGATTATGCTAACCAATGTGTAACGTTTTCAAGCACTGACGCAAAGCTCGATGGCTTGAGCAACCTACTTATGATCAGTCTATTTCAATGTAAACAAACATTTAACAATAAGACATTCCCATGGCTTCAATAGTCTCTGCATAAGCACTGCAAGAACAATATTCAGAAGCCAATTAGCTAATCAAATGTATTTTCTTCATCTAAGTGTCCTACAACTGCAGCATTTACATTTCTGTTGCATGTGTAACTGCCTCAATATAATGTTTGCTTTCCTTTTCCAGGGTACTACCACCAGAGCCAAGTGCAGAGCCTGAGCCAGAACAAGGAGAAGAGCCACGACATGCAGGTCCTGGTTTCTGGAACCACTGGCATTTCCTGGAGGAAGAAGCCTGCTACAGTGAGCGTCACAGTTGTCTTTTTTACACACAGTTTCGAAAAGAAGATTGCCTCCACTTTCACTAGCTTTCAGATAAACTAGAAGTTACAAACGAGTCAAATATCAAATAGGGAAAATATTAAGATATCAACATCATAGTTGAGAGGCCACAACAACACATATTTTATAGAACAATATTATGATAAAAACGTATGAAGTCACCAAAATACTGTCATTTTTATTATCTGTTATCATTTGTGTGTTTATATTTCTTTTTATATCTTTTCAAATAGACACCTCTGATCGTCAAAGAAAAGGGCAAGTCGAAGAAGAACAAGTTGGATGAAAATCTGAAAAATGACGACTGGGTGGTGTTCTGTGACTTCCATGAGATCACACACACTGTGATCAGAGAGGCCATGGTCACCATCTACAGACAGGACAACAAGAAGATGGTGAGCACTGTGTCCCATGGTTAAGTTACCACTGTATGAAAATATGTTGCACCCTTGCTTCCAAAATTAACCCATCTCTATTTTTTTACAACAAATGTTTATTGTATACAATCATTTAGTTTGAAATTAATGTATTTTACACAGTTGATGGGTCTTTTTTGTTACAATGACCCCAAACCTACACTTCATAGTAAATACTATTGTGATGTGTCATAGTGGGGTTATTCTCGTATAATTTAATAACCTAGACCGCTAACTGCCTCTACTTTTTTTCATAGTTAAAGGTGGGGTAGGTACGTTTGAGAAACCGGCTCGAGATACACTTTTTGTTATATTCCATGGAATGCTCTTAACATCCCGATAGCAATGAATATCTTAAGTGCTTTGACAAAAAATCCATAAAAAAATGTCATCTGTGGAAGCCGTAATACTGTAAAAAGCACGACCAATCATTTTAGCCGGCCCGGCTAAAATAACTGGATGGCCTACCTGCCTGTCAGCCTTCCATCTGTGCACAAACTGATCTCGTGCCCTCATTGGTCATGTGCGCGTTTGTGTGTGTTGGAGGAGGGGCTCTGTAAGGAAGTGGCAGATTTCTTCCGGCTGTGTATTTTCAAATTCTAGCACACTCGAGCTGGTTACTCCCAAATTACCTACCCCACCTTTAATGTGTCCCGACGGCAACATTTGTTTCACTTAACATCCTGCTTGAACAAAACCTGCCTCTTGCTACACCCCATATTAGCTCTGACTAATAGTGATATCATGCTTCATCAAAGATTTGAGTAATGTCATACATCACCACTGACTCATTCTCTTTATCTCCTCTCTCGTCGTCTCTTCTCTTTTCAGGAGCTGCACATGCCCTCTAGGGTGGAAGCTCTGTCCTTTGCGGCCCTAGTTGATGGGTACTTCCGGCTGACAGTGGATGCCCATCACTTCCTGTGCAAGGAGGTGGCCCCTGCTTCAGTGGTGCACAACATCAACAACGGCTGCCATGGACCCATCTGGTTTGTACCGGCAGTTTTAATGCGAATCTGTGTATATATGGGCATGTGCTTGTTTGCCTACAAAAACACTGGACACAGAAAGTCATACTACTCATAATGGTAACACTATAATAACCATTACATTACATTTAGCTGACACTTTCATCCAAAGCGACTTACAATAAGTGCATTCGACCAAGAAGATACAAACTTTGAAGAAAACAGAATCATATAAGTACATCAGGTTTCATAGAGCCAAAACATTTCAAGTGCTACTCAACTGGCTTTAGATAAGCCAGTCCTTTATTAGTATAAAAGTGCTTTGTTAGTAATTATTTGTTAATAAATTATAAATTGGTAGTTTAATAAAACTTTTCGTTTACATGTATTTTTCTTTAAACAAACAATTCAATTATAAAGTATACTGTTTGCTTGGTATTAGTTAGAAATAACTTACTTTATTAGATATGTTAACAGATTATTGTTGCACACAAAATAAATTATATGATTTCCTATAATATATAAAAAGGTGTTAAGTATTACCAATTGCCATTACCATTGTGTTTTTCCTCCCCAGCACGGAGTACGCCATCCAAAAGCTCCGTCAGGAGGGCAACGAGGAGGGCACCTACGTCCTACGCTGGAGCTGCACCGACTACCAGTACATCATCATCACTGTGGTCTGCACTGAGGTAGGGAACACTTCTTTATACAGTGTGAGGAACCCGTTTGTCATTCATCACCACATTAAAACCAGAAAATGTCTTCAGATTTCTATTATTTATTGGACTCTAAACAATATAGAAGAAAACAATATATGTCCTAACTCAAATTTATAATAATAATAAGTAAATACAAATGTTAATATAATTAGTAACTATTTTTTATTGTAAGTATTATATCTGATTATTATTGTTTTAGTATTTTAAATATAAAAAGAAACATTGTCAACAAATGTTTGAGGACTATTCTACCACTTACTATTCATTTTAAAGAACAAACTGAAATGTATTTGAAACATTTGAAAATAAACTCAAAATGAAACTGACATAAAAGGACAAAACACTCCCTAGTTCAAATATAATCACAATGTTTTCTTTTGTTGTGAACAAAAACTCAAAATCACACCCATATTGACCGTTTTATTTTCAGTATATAAAATCTTTCTCTTTCTCCACACAGATCGACCTGAAGGAGTCTCGTACTGTGCGTCAGTATAAGAACTTCCAGATTGAGGTGGCCCCCACTGGGTTCCGCTTGTACGGCACTGAGACGGTCCGGGCCACTCTGTTCGAGCTGCTGGAGCACCTGGAGGGCCAAAGCCTTCGCACAGACCATCTCCAGTTCCAGCTGCAGCGCTGTTGCCCTCCACAGCCTAGAGGTAAGCTTAATCAAACCATGGACATACAAAAAATACATGGTGAACTAATCAAAGGCATGTGCACTAACCAATACCCAGATGAGGAGAAGCACACAGTACTGCAACTTCATTAAGCTTAAAGAGCCTGTGACAGCATCCCATCAACTGTTGTGCAATGAAATATTGGGCTACTAGTATTCTCGAACCGTCAGTTTAAAAAAGAAAAAGCGATACCGTTCCGTTAAATATCAATAATTTCGAACATCGCGGGAAAATTCCTTCGACTCATTTTGAAGTTTTGGGGGAAGCCGGAAGTGACGTCAATGCGGGAACGCTTCACTGTGCGGCGAGAGAGCCAAACACGGACAAAGTGTGTTGTCATGCGTAGAAATGGTGAATTACTGAGTTTAGGCACGTTAATAACGTTGTAATGAAGTTGACTACAGTATATTCATATTTGTCAGTGCTTTCATGTCAATTCGGCGAACATAAACATAAATGATCGTGGTGAAGATGATGATTACATTAGGATTAAAAATCGGTAGTGAGAGCTGCTGATTTTCCTCCCGTAGGATGTGATATAAAAATAAATCGATTATTTTTGTAGTTGTAAACTCAAGTGGATGAAACTACATTTATTAGTGCTTTCATGTCAATTCGGCGAACATATGATACATTAAATGATCGTGAGAATGATGATTAAAAATCGTTTGTTTGAGCCTGTCTGCATTTCCTGATGAGAAAACAAACCGATGCTTGTTGTAGTTGTAGTACACCAACATGGATTAAACGTGTGTTTTTTTCACCACAATGTTGGGGAAATTAATGGATAAAAGGCACGGATTATTATTATTATTATTATTCCCACTCCGATCGGGACACTAGGTCCACCGTTTCCCCGCAGCGAGGCTCCCCCCGTTGACAGTTTACGTGGGCTGGGTGCAGTCGCGGACTGGCCATCGGGACCAATCCTGATGGGCCGGTACCGAAGTGGGCCGGTCGGATAAGTCACTAGCACATCCCCCATAGGCGGCGCGTGAGGCTCAGGTTTGGGAAGGCTAAATAACTTTTTTTACCTGACGCTGCCCGCCTCCGGCGTCTATAGAAAAGAGATCAACTCAGTGTGTGGAGTTTAAATCTCTCAAGTCATATTACAGGATAAAGGAAATACAGTTTAAACTGCCATATGCAGAGAAGACGCCGACGCCGACGTGTCGCACTTATCATTCATATTACATCATCAATCAGATCATCGATCATATAATATCATAATATATCAAATATTTCCTTATCTGCCGTGTCTGGCCGTGCAACACTTACAGTGTCACATACTGTATGCAGAAGTATTATTTTAAGCAACACATTATGTTGACGAAACACTCGAGTCAAATGTAATTAAAGTCAGATCCACTGTGTCTTAGACTTGAACGCGCTCTCAGCTGGAGAGAGAAAGCCTGGCTTGATTTACCGAGTTGATAACCAGCGTCTTAGGACCGCTTAGCGAGATCTCGTTTGTTAGTTTGTTGTTGTTAGTTTGTTTGTTACTCAAACATATCCAGGGTCTGTTGAACTGGCTTCGTAGTACAGGGCACAGGTGGCTAGCAGCGCTAATGTCAAAGACACAGACATTATATTTGTATTTTACCAGGATGCAGTGACACAAATATTTACATATTTACATTTACTATCTACAGCACCCGCCGCCCCTGACATCCCCCACTCCCCCCGTTGACAATTTACTAGCGGTACCGAAGTGGGCCGGTCGAGGGTCCCGGGATGATTTTTAGTCCCATTCCACCACTGGCTACATGACCGTATTATCGCCCATATTGACGCACCTAATTCCTAAACTTCTAACAGATACAACATAAACCGATCCTTCAGCCTCATATGAGCTCTCAGACACGTTCAACATTAAACTGTCATCGCTGTCTGAGCTTGCTGCTGTGTGCACCATCGTGCGTTTACATGCAGATGCTGGGATCCTGAACGGTGCAGCTGGAGCTGTGCCCGCAATGACGTCACACATAATTTGGCGGGACTTGAAGAATCCCCGAGAAGATCCAGAAAATGGTCAACATTGAAGGGCAGATTAATGGTTATCAAAGTACAAATATCCAAAATCAGTTCAGTAACGGTTTTCAAGGGGACAATATTTACTCAAATTGAAGGGTTTGGATGATGGGGGAAACTCGTGTCACGGGCTCTTTAAAGGTCCCCTATTATTCTGTTTTTCATCAATATATTATAGGTCTCAGATATATACAAAACATGTCTCTGAAGTGTTTGGAGGAGATTCAGGTGATAAGGAATCTTTTTTCCTGAAACTTTCAGAATCTCTTTACACAGAGGGGATACATGTTTATGTTGAAAATACATGAAAAGTGGATTTTGCACAATAGGTGACCTTTAATAACTTAAAATAATGTAAGTAAAAGGGCTGACAGTGAAATATACACACAAAATACCATAGCAACATCATAAAAAAAGCTGGGTTTCAAAGGTAGCGAAAGTGGATTAGAGAAGATTTGATATGACTCCTGTTTAGGGCTGCTCAATTAATCGTATTTTAATCGCAATTACGATTATGGCTTGCAACGATTACGAAAACAACGTAATCGAAATAATTATATACGATTTATTTTTGTATTACTTTTTTTTGTATTGGTTTTTCAGTTGAATTATACTTACAGTTCAGGGTAATCAACTGTTAAAAACATACTGTTCACATTTTTCTCCAATAAATTGATGTTTTCAAAGTAAATGGGTCGTTTTTAATAATCGTGATATCAATTATTGACCCAAATAATCGAGATTATGTTTTTGCCATAATCGAGCAGCCATAATTTATGTTTCACCATAAGTGATGAGGGAGCAGGCCATCTACATTCCAACCGTTCTCATTATTACAGGAGATCTGGGTAGTGAGCAGAAGTGAGATTCAGGTGGCTACTCCTGTTTGTTAAAAACATTTAGAAACGTTTGACCCGGGGGGAGAAAATGAAATGATTAAGACATATTATGGTTAGCAGCAGGAATTTCACCAACACCAATTATGAACATCCTCAGTCCACACCCATACTGCAACCCTCCCCTCTGCAGTATCGTGTGCAATGCTACTTAAACACTGGGTGTGGCAACGCGTTTAACGAACCACACATGCCTGTGATGTTGGGTGGGGGCAGAATTGCAACAGACTTGAACTGTATAACCCACAGAGGTCAATGAAGCAAAACCTTCCCTCCATACAGGATTTAGAGTGGAGCTGCCTGTTATAGAAGATGTGTTTGTTTTTGTCGCTAAGGGAGGGTACCTGAAGCAGGCAAGAGCAATCTGTGTGAAATGGTGTCAGGGAGGAAGATAGTTGTAAATGTGGGTTTCCGGAGCCAAACTAGCAGATCTTGTGTTTCCCCCGCTCAGGGAAAGGTGGAGATGTGTGTGCATGGATGTGTTGAGCTGTGTACGTTTGTTGGGGTTGTGTGGTGTTGATCATTATCATGAGGTACAACTGTTTGGGTTAAGAGTTAGGCTCTTCATTTTTATCTGCCTAAAAGAACGATATAAGTGCTGTGATGTTATTTCAAATATTTAGTTTTATACCACACTCTTGCTGACACCGGTGTCTCCACATCCTGAGCATATGATCCAAGTAATACTCCTACACTAATGATATGTTGGGTCTTTGCATGGTTTTAACTGTTGGGAAAGTAATACAGAGTGGGAATGCAATGGCAGATGCATCACATCTGTCTACATGGTTTTAGGTTAAACAAGTTTGTGTACTTATCACTAGAATATGGGTTTTCTCCCATAAACATGAGCAAAGTAAATGACTATGGTTAGGTCTGGATTGTGTAAACGGGATAAGGATTGGGTGCATGGCACAAAGTAGCACCATTTAGCAGCAACATACTGGTGGAACAGGCTACTAGATTTGCATGACTCATCTGCCAAAACTGAGGGTTAAATAATAAATAAATTGTGAACATACATTAGGCCATTTAGCCGGCAGACAACAAAAAGTTGCCATTTTGAACCCACATTGAGTACATGTTTTATTTGTACATTTACATCTATTATTTAGTTTGCATAAAGACCCAGATTGCATACAGAAGAGTGCTTTTAACACTCTTTGATGGTGAATGTATGGTGATGCTGATGGAGTGCAGATACTTCCCCCTTAAACCACAGTGCGCTGGTTTTGTCACAACATCAGACACCCACAGACACACACTTGCAAGCACATATAGTACGACAATAGGCACAAAGACACATTTTTATTTCATCCTCCCACCCACAGCTCTGTATATACAAAAAATAAACTGAATCAGTGTGGCAAGCCGCCCCGAATAGCTGTTCACATCAATGCCACATTGACGTAATAGTTTAGAGCTTGTTTTACCACATGTATACATACACTGACTGTTGGGCTTTCATGCTGGATACCAGCGCATATGTAGCATATACACATGTGTTGCTTTTTTTAGGTGCTGCGATAGACAGTGCCCCACGCTGTGAATACACTTCTGCTTTTATTGGTTTCAGAGTCCATTGTTGTTGCGGGAAAGCATTGCATTGTTTAAATCAATCTAAAGTTGACAGTTTCAAAACAACCTGACCTTGAAGACACCAGAAGCAGACGTTTGATTCTCTGAGGCGATACCTAACAAAAACAGCTGTCAAGTCTCTGCTGCTTGATTTTGAAAAAGAAGAATGGAAAATACTTTAATGGTTTTGAAAATGGCCCTGTGAAAATGACTTTGTAGTATGCTCACCTTCAATAAGAACCCTGTTATGGCTTTTTAAATGTGTGTCTGTGTTGCAGAGATTTCTAACCTGCTGGTGGTAACCAAAGAAAGAGAACCGCTGCTTCTGACTCCCATGCAGGGGAGTCAGGTCAGCTTCCATCGCATTCTCAAGGAGGAAATCAAACAGGTACAGCCTCTCAACTTCACGTATGTCTCCCATATGATGGTCAGAGCATGAATGTAAATGTAATATACAAATATTCAAATAAATAACGAACCAACATTTTCCTCCATATAATGTATTAGAAGGTTTGAAATGAATGTACAGTAGATTTAGTTTTTATGAAAACGGTTTAAGCTTCCAGTGTGCCGTATATGTTGTACAGAAGACCTTCACAAACAACACATCTACTGCAGTTTAGTCAAATGCAAACAACTGAACTAATCCACACAGGATCATTTATACCTAACAACAGATTTGATCCTCTTAGGATTTCTCCTATATGAAAAGACACTTCAGATCTACAGTATACAGACATTACTTCGACTATGTGAACTTGCATATTTTATGTAAATATTGACATATCTCAGTTTACATTTTTTACACAACTCCATTGTTTTGCTCTGTCTCTGTAAGTACGTGCAGAGGTTTGTCCAAACCCTAGCTAACAACACTAATGCTAATGCTCTAATATTCTTGTAGTAGCCGTAGTTTGGAAACTGGTTCTAACTATGCTTTTCTGGGTTGTGTGAACCAGGAGGAGCACCTTGGCCCGGGCACAAGAACCAACATCTACTCAGGCTCACTGATGGTGAAAAGTATAGAGGACGATGAGGAGAATGGAGGGAACTCATCCTCCCAGCAGGTGAAGGTGGTCCTGAAGGTGCTGGGTTCTGGACACAGGGACATCTCACTGGTGAGAAACACTCACAGATCCTGTATCCTGGTCTTAAGAGCACTACATCCATTCTGTAACATCTTACTATACTCAAAGATCCTACTTAGTAGAAGCAAGCTGTTTCAAAATCAAAAGGTTTCTGCAGTGTGCCTTGTGTCGAGTTATCTCTGTCTTTCTGTGTACAGGCCTTCTTCGAAACAGCCAGCATGATGCGACAAGTGTCCCACAAACACATAGTACTGCTTTATGGAGTGTGTGTCCGCAACCAGGAGAGTGAGTGCCTTAATGAGCTGTGTGTTTGTAAATGTGTCTTGAGAGTGTAAGGCTGTTTCTGACCCCTTCTCTCTCTGTGTTTGTGTGTAACAGATATCATGGTTGAGGAGTTTGTGCAGCTAGGACCCCTGGACTTGTTTATGAGGAGACAGCAGACGCCCCTCAGCACACCGTGGAAGTTCCAGGTGGCCATGCAGCTGGCCTCAGCTCTCAGCTACTTGGTAAGACAGGAAAAGACACACACACATGCACACTAACTATAAAATGTAAGCACAGCCCTGTATGGATCACTGCGTATGCACCATTTTTTGTTCTCTTTGCTATCTCACTTTTGGTCTAATAGTTGTGTTATATTGTGTGTGTGTATGTGTGTGTGTGTGTTTGTGTGTGTGTGTGTGTGTGTGTTTTTAGGAGGACAAAAAGCTGGTCCATGGCTTTGTGTGTGCTAAAAACATCCTGCTGGCCAGAGACGGGCTGGACGCGGATGAAGGAGGGCCCTTCATCAAGCTCAGCGACCCAGGAATACCAATTACAGTACTCACCAGAGAGGGTTAGTACAAAGTATTACATATTTGATACACAGTAGTAACACATGTGGGTTGTATATTATACTGGTGTCTATCTAATGTTATGCCATACAATACACTACAATTTATAACAGTTACTTAATCCCATACAAATCCCTACTTTAATGGTTCTTGCCGTGGTTCTGAGTCCCTCTCTGAGTTCTTCATTTAGCTTCTTCCAGTTTGTCTTCAGGGGTTAAGATTTTGATGTTTATTTTTATCACGATGTGTACGTTTTTTTACGAGGAGTAACTCTCACAGTGGAAAAGGAAGGGCATGTCTCTCGACCTCACCATTAGAAAAGTTCCTATCTATACCCACACACATACACAAAGACATTAAGACATGGCTGCGCAGCGTCCACAGCCAGTTGGATCACTTCCTGTGTCCCATCTCTGATGTCTCTTTATCTTTTGCTCTCTTTTTCTCTCTCTTTTTCTGGCTTACTAAAAGTGAAACTTTTTTTAAAAGTAAAAATTGCTGCCATGGAAAATGTCACAATCACTTCCACTTTCTTTCAAAGTCAGCTGTAAATGACAGTGAAACCAAAATGAGAACACAGTGCTACAGTACAACTGCATGGATACAGGTTTCATTTGGACAATGAATTAGTCAGTTTAATTTTCATTAAATGTTTTAAGTCTAACTAGATCTCCAAAAATACCAAAGTTATGTAGCACTTCATTTAATATGTGAAACACAACACACCTACTAACATATTGACAATGGTCTTGAAGAAATTAGTCAGATTTGTTTTTCTTGTCCTCTGTTGTCCCACAAAAAACTGAAAATATGATTTTTATCAGAACCTTTCCGATCAAGCCTTTGTACGGTATGTATTCACATTTGTCACTTGATCAATACAAATGCATCGGGCACATTTCCCTCTAAGACTGTCATTTGTTTTGTAAAGGCTAGTTTCAGGGAAGATGGCACATGAATAAGGATATTTCTCCAATTGCGCAGTTCCTCGCTAATGTCCGCCCCCTGTTTCTGTTTGGCTGTTAGACCTGCTATGGATGCTCAGATGGATTTGCAAACCACAGGACAGACTGGAAATGTTACTCTGCAAATGTTAATCACAGCCCGCCCCTGGGAGTGCTCCTCCCTCCCTCTCTGTTCCCAGAACTCTTTATATGTCTCCCGTTGCCTCCATTACTCTGCAGAACAATCAGTCTTCCAGTTACACATCAATGTCCTTGTATATAGATTGAATTGTACGCATAGAGGGGAAAGTGCTGAGAAACCCACTGGGAGCGTACTTCCCTTCTTCCCAGCAATCTCTGATCACTTTACTTCATTCTCTTTTTTCTCTCTGTTTTTTTGTCCTCACAATCAATTATCTATTTTCCCGCTTTCATTTCTTTCTCCATCTTCCCCTTTCACTCCATACAGCCCCTCCACTGCCTTTCCCCCCTCTTCATTTCTCCTCCTCTTTCCCTCCGGTCAGTCCCCCGGTTTTCCTGTCTGAGCTGCACGCACTAACTTACGCCCCTCATCTGACGCATTTGTATAGACGGAAAGCCAAGCGTGGAGGTCAGCCAATCAGCAGTAATTTATTTCCTAGTATTATGAATAGGTGAGAGTATTCCAGCAACCATTCATTCCAGGTTATTCCAGAATGTTGTTAGCATTTGGTGTAAGTGATCATATGTATCTTGTACATACTGTATGACACTACCATACGAGTTACACATTTCAAATTTACGGTTGAAATAAACACTCTGCTGTATTTACGTTTAATCCATCAATGAATCTATATACTGTAAATTAGGGCTGCTCAATTAATCGTATTTGAATCGCGATTACGATTATGGCTTGCAACGATTACGAAAACAACGTAATCTAAATAAAACGGTAATTTTTTAATTATTATTTTTACTTTTTTTTTTTTTCCAGTTGAATTACACTTAGAGTTCAGGGTAATCAACTGTTAAAAACATACTGTTCACATTTTTTTTCTCCAATAAATGGATGTTTTCAAAGTCGAGTTTAATAATCGCAATTACAATTATTGACCCAAATAATCGAAATTATGATTTTTGCCATAATCGAGCAGCCCTACTGTAAGTAGACATGCATAATCTGTAAGTAACCCCCTGCTTAAATACAATAAGTACTGTTGTTGAAAGGTGAAGTCTGTATTTCACATATATCTGTGAGGAAACACTTATTGCAATTACATTTAAACATCACACTAGCTTTATTTAAACTGTGTAAAAACAGGTCTGTTGATTCACACTTCTGTGTATCTCACTCATCTCCAAACAATGATCTTTTGTGTTTTTTATGAAGACACAAATGTGTGTCTGATTGATTGGCAGTTGCTAAAGCTGACTTGGTTTGCCTCTGCAGAGTGTGTGCATCGCATTCCATGGATCGCTCCTGAGTGTGTGAACAGCATGTCCTCCCTGAGCGTCCCAGCTGACAAGTGGGGCTTTGGTACCACCCTGTGGGAGATCTGCTATGATGGAGAGGAACCCCTCAAAGACAAGAAACTGACAGAGGTACGGAGTAACAACGGCAGGACAATGTGTGATCATATATACATTCTTTAACTTCAAATCTGAGGGCTGCCCTACTTTGTATTGTAGGCCATTTGCCTTTTTCACCTCCTCTGTCCGGTATCTCACATCAATAATCATATTATCATGTCTTTATGCACCTCCTCATGTACATGCATGTGTTTGTGCTGAGCAGAAAGAGCGCTTCTATGCAATGGAGTGCCAACTGGCCACCCCAGACTGCCAAGAGCTGGCTCACCTGATGACCGACTGCATGAACTACGACCCCAAGAAGAGACCTTTCTTCAGGGCTATCGTCAGAGAAATAGTCAACCTTCCAGATAAATGTATGTATGATGGAAATGTGTGTTACTGTGCAATATGTATGTTAGATATGTTCATATTTAGGGGTAGGTGAAAATATGAAGTAAAACCTTTTTTCTCTGCAGTTCTTTCCCCAAAACTTGAATGTTGAGAGTGTGCAGGTTACATGCAGGTACAGGCTCAAACAATGCAGGCAGCTGTCTACAGTTGGAATACGATACGGCTGGTTTGCATGTTTTGTGTCTAACCTAGCAGCGCCCAGTAAGCAGTGCAAAGACAGAGAGAGAGAGAGAGAGAGAGAGAGAGAAAGTTGTTTACTCAACTCAGATGTTCATCAGGAAGTTCACTGGGTGCAATATCACTGATCTGCCCCTCTGCTGGGCCCCATAGCAACATAACACTGCCTCTTCTTCCACCTGCTGGCCAGGATTAGGAACTGCAGTGTTGTTCCACCATTTTATAAAAAAAATCTAAAGAATGCAACACAATCGCCTAAATCGAACAACATTGTGATATATATTGCACCAAAACATTTTACAATATGAAGTCAGACACATATTTATCAGATTGTGAGATAGTGCTGTTGTAATAAAGCTTAAAGCTGTATAAGGAACTTTCCAGAAACTATTTTTTCAAATAAACTATATCATAATTATTTAAACCATAAATACAGAATGAGTCTTGGTTGTGTTATGATTTTTCTTTACTAAAAGTTGCCATTTGTGTTGAAACCAGAGTCTGCGAGCAGTTACATAACCACCAAACATCTTGCAACACTGTCAACCACATTTGACTTCCTCTGACAAAAGTGTGCTTATGTTGAAGACAATACATGTTCTACCGAGCATGTTTAATGTATTTCTTTCTTTTTCCATCGCTCAGACCCATCCTTCAAAGCCCAGCCTCAAACAGGGGTGGACCCAACTATGTTTGAAAAGAGATTCTTGAGGAAGATCAGAGATCTGGGCGAGGTAAACTCTTCCTGCTGTATCTAAGCTTTTGTGTTAATCCCTGTATGAAAACATTTACGATAATGATCTAATAAAACATCCTGACCATTTAGTTCACATGCATTTTGATCATATTGAATTAAATCTATAGTTAACATGTATTCATATTTTATACTTCATCTACGTAGTTGCAGTATGTTTTTTTTTTCTATTAAGGATGCCGTCCGAGGTTTTATTATTATCATTATTTTCATCTTTCATAACTTAAAAACAAACTGCAAGGATGATTAAAACAACAGCAAATATTTTCTTCAGATCAAAGACACCCTGATACAGGACTAAAGGACAATAGGCAGATATCTGAAATGACCCGCAAAGTAGAGTAACTTCTTCATGATCATCCTGTCACATATTCCTCATGCAGGGCCACTTTGGCAAAGTGGAGCTGTGTCGCTACGATCCTCGAGGAGATAGAACCGGAGAGCTGGTGGCGGTGAAGTCCTTGAAGCCGGAAAACCGGGAGGAGCAGAGCAACAACCTCTCGAGTGAGATTGACATCCTGAAAGCACTCTACCATGAAAACATTGTCAAATACAAGGGCATCTGCCAGGAGGAAGGTAAGAGGAAAAGAGTGCCTGCAAAAATAAACACTGACGTATGTATATTCAGCTGCAGACAAACAGAAATCCACCTGTGTGTCTGAGTCACTCAGCACAGATCAAAACAGGGTTCAGAGGGTTGTTGTATTAATACATTAAACCAGAAAGCAAGCTTTTATTGTCGAGGTACAATCATGTCAGTGTAGAAAAGCATGCTGCATCTAGATTCTAGGTGTAGACAGAGGGGATTTCTTTCATCCTGTTCCCTCTCAACCCATAAGACCCCGACCCATTTCTACTTCTGGGAACATCATTTAGACTTAATAGACCACATAGAACACATTTCTGACCCCCCCTTCACTTCATGCAGAGCTTAGTGTCCTTAAGTTATACTCAAATTCCAGGCCGGCATTTCAGTGATAGGAGTTTATTCCAGCATGAACCAACGTTCTACACAAAGACCCAAACAAACAGGCATGTATGCCTCTCATCAGAATCACTGACTTTCGCATCTCGATCAAATCTAGACTGTCATTAATTACACTTTCCGCTGTTAAGCAGATATTTCCTGAATCTTTCGACTCGCAGAAAAAAAACTGGACAACTAATCTTTCATCCGAATCACAAAAGAAAAGCTTTTGACCTGTTTTCCATATTGCAGTACACTTACTCTCTAGGAAGTAACTATACATATCTTAAGAATACGGGTAATTGTTGGTAAACTGCCTCCTGGGGTTTATACTTAGAAGACATAAGACTGGGGTTTATACTTAGAAGACATAAGGCTGGGGTTTATACTTAGAAGACATAAGACTGGGGTTTATACTTAGAAGACATAAGACTGGGGTTTATACTTAGAAGACATAAGACTGGGGTTTATACTTAGAAGACATAAGACTGGGGTTTATACTTAGAAGACATAAGACTGGGGTTTATACTTAGAAGACATAAGGCTGGGGTTTATACTTAGAAGACATAAGGCTGGGGTTTATACTTAGAAGACATAAGACTGGGGTTTATACTTAGAAGACATAAGACTGGGGTTTATACTTAGAAGACATAAGACTGGGGTTTATACTTAGAAGACATAAGGCTGGGGTTTATACTTAGAAGACATAAGACTGGGGTTTACCAAATGCTTACACAGAAACACACAAGCTGTTATTTATGAAAGACTACACTGCTGATATCTGCCTCTGATTTCTGTTGATGTGTGAATCTGTTTGTAGGTGCTCAGGCCATTAAGCTGATCATGGAGTACCTTCCCCTGGGCAGTCTGAAGGAGTATCTCCCCCGAAACAAAAGCAAGACCAGCCTCGGCACCCTGCTCAGCTACTCTGAACAGATCTGCAAGGTAAAAGGGAATGTCCTCTTACCAGCTAGTACAATCTAGTACATCTTATACGGGTAGTTAGACAATAACAGAGTGCCTTTTTTAACCAACACCTGACCTCTTTTGTTAAAAAGATAGTTATCCTAGCATACCCAATCATTTAATATGCTTCAGGTTTAACCCTTCCTTGTGGTAAGTGCTTTCCAAAAGAACAACAAACAGAAATGTTCACATGATTGTTGTGAGTTGGTGATGCTGGTTGTTTGCTTTTGAAATAATAATATAACTTATTGGTCAAAATGTCTCAGAAAAGACAACCTCACTCTGTTCTTGCTAATCTGCCCAAAAAATAAGAAGTCCTAAGGGGTGCTGTTGCCATGTTGAATGAAATACGTTAGAAACATTGTGGAAACGGTGCAGGAGTCTGAAACAAAGGCTGGTATTGCAGCAGGTATTTAGATTTATAGTTGAAGCATAATATGTGCATCATTAAATCATTTGCAGGTCCTCTCCCATCATACGATGTTTTCTATGTCTGCATGTTCCAATCACCCATAGACTGCATTTCTCTAACTTTGAAACGTTGAGCAATGTCCTATTTTTTTATTTTAAGGGAATGGAGTATCTTGGATCCCGAAACTACATCCACCGTGACCTGGCTGCCCGAAACGTGCTGGTGGAGAACGAGAGGACCGTGAAGATCGGAGATTTCGGCCTAACCAAAAGCATCAAGGAAAACGAGGGATATTACACCGTCAAAGACGAAAACGACAGCCCTGTTTTCTGGTGAGTCAAGAGGGAAAGGGAGTTATCAAACGTCATACTCTCTCAGGCCGGGCTGAGATGTTATTGTTACAAGAGACTTTGTAAAGGAAGAGGGGGAAATACTAAAAGACGTGAAAAGATGGGAATGAAGGTGATACGCTGTGGAGCGTACAGTGTTTCCCCTAGGTTTACTGCTTTGGGGGGGCGCTGCCTGAGCAGGGGGGGGTTGTCATTGGGATATTTTAAATCCTCTGGAGCAGAGAGAGGAGCTGTGGATTGTTGTCATCAGTGTTTCTTAGGGTCAAAAACACTAAACTCACGACTTAAAATGAAAGCGGTTAGTTTATTTAATAAAAGAGCACATGTGAAAAGTGACAGTAGATATAGATTAGTTGCAATTTAAATAAAAAGAATTATAATTTTATTTTATTTTTTAAACACCTTGAGTTTCAATGGGGGGCGCGGGGCTCCGTTGACGGGGCTCCGTTGGCGGGGCGCAGCGCCCCTCCAAGACAATGGTAGGGGAAACACTGGCGTATATGTGGAATACTGGTGATATAAGATACTCTTAATGGTTTCTCACAAGCATTTCATTGGGTTAAGAAAATGATAATTGTCAAATCTGACAAAGATATTATTTTCTCTATCTCTATAACACCTTACAATCTGATAGCAAACATCCATTCAATCCCTTGATCCCTTATTTTTTTATTCTGCATGGACACAACCATTTTTTTAACAACAAATTGGCTTCCTCTAAATATTTCCAAAAAAGTAGAACATTATAGAAGTTTCCTTCAGCATTTAAAATGTGCTGTTTTTGCCTTTTTCTCTCTGAAGCTGTAAAAGTGTTCATGCTCTTCTTCTAACATGTTCCGTTGTTGTTCAGGTATGCTCCAGAGTGTCTGACTCACTGCAAGTTCTACCTGGCGTCAGACGTCTGGTCCTTCGGGGTGACCATGTACGAACTCATCACCTACTGCGAATCCTCCAAGAGCCCGATGACGGTCAGTTCTACACCCTCACACAGACATCCAACCTCTAACCCTTGCTGTGTGTTTTAAGAGGCTCGGATGATAATTCAACATCACACACACTGTACCGCTCTTGCAGAAAATAAGACATGTTTTTATCACAGTCGTTTGTCTGTGGCAGATGGTGTCAGTCGCTGGCCAAAGCGCCAGACGACGGACTCCACCAGGAGCTAAGAGCTATCATGAAGATCTTCCATTTACATCCAGCTTCTAACTGCCACTGTTATCCTGCGTTACCTGTCACTGTTGCTGGAAACCAAATTGGTATTAAAGATCTACACAGGTCAAGGACTTTTCAAAAAAGAGATCTGTAAAAAGGAATGAAAAAAACCGAGCTATTAAATCCGCACTGGAGTTTTACTTTCATGTTTCACGATTCATTGAAAAGCATTGCACGTCGTTTCTTTTATAACTGGCTCTTGTCTCCCATGCAGCTCTTCCTTGATATGATTGGTCGAACTCAAGGACAGATGACCATCATCCGCCTGGTGAAGGTGTTGGAGGCTGAGCGGAGGCTGCCTCGTCCTGAGTTCTGTCCTGAGCCTGTAAGTCTCATCACCATGACAACACAATGATAGCATCCACACAGACTTTAGACCACAAATGGAAAGAAAAGTAAAAGAAGGGAAGCAACACTCAAAACTGTTTGAATGTTTGATCACAGGTGAGGAGCAAACAATGACGAAACAGCTTCTTATGTATACACGAGGTCTTCGGTGTTGGAGAGGAAACGGGGAAGAAGGTTTCAAAAAAGAAATTCAAAATGGCAATTAAAAACATGTTCTCTTTTACCTCTCTTAAAAAGAATCATAGTAAATAATGCAACTTGTATATTCTTTTGCGCTCTCTCATTCCTTCTACCCCCAACATCTTTTTTTATATTAATGCTCTGAATGCCTAAAATAATATTTGTTGGTATATAAACATTGAAACAAAAGTCAAATGTTACCAAAAAAGTAATGTTTGTAACTGTGTCTTAAAAATACAAAGAGTCATAGTATAGTATTTGATTCATGGCATATAAAGTCATTCATATACAATTTATAAAAATGCCATATTATAGTTTGCCACAAAAAAAGGTCATATTATAATATAGGCCTACTATGTCACCCAAAGAAAGACGGACATTTCCTGAGCAATTACTCTCCTAATGTATGTACACTTGATGTATAGGTTAGTTTTAGTTGTCTGGACACAAGCCTGCAAAAACAGTGGCATGCAAAGGAGGCCGTTTGTCATCAATATTTGTATTGATATTTTAAACGTTGTTAAATTAGTAAATAGAACCAATCAGTGTGCCTGTCTGGCTTGTCAAGCGGTGAGGGCATACAGTAGTTATTACATTTAGGGAATCAGCAAAAAACCCTGAAAAACGTTCCCAGTATTCGATGCAAAACTCCTCGTCACCTTCAAACACTGAACAACTTTATAGCAGCAGCAGCAGCATAATATAACATGCTGATACTGCAGTTTCTAACACTGTTCTTGTTCTCAGGTGTACGAGCTGATGCGCAAGTGCTGGGAGCACAAGCCGGAGAGGAGAATCACCTTCGAGCGCCTGGTGGAGGAGCTGAGCAACATGCAGCAGCAGCTCCAGCCTCAGGACCACATTTAAACCGCCTCAGGTTTAAGGCTCTGGAAGGGAAGTTATCTTCTACCTGCAGACCCCAGATCTGCATCTGCATGTGTCGCTTCATTTGGCTGAAAGACAGTCCTGAAGAATCAGAGCTTCACACAACCCTTCAACAATCCTGAAAAAACGTATTGTCCCATCTGTCATTTTACTATGTTTGTGTTTCTCATTTTTGTTTTTCTATTTCGATGTTTCCTCATTTTATTCTGGATGAAACAAGTACATATATATGTAGCCTTAGCTCACGCTAAATGTGCCGTTATATCTTACAAAAGGACTTCCAAGTGTATCTAAGGGATTGAACTGTCCGCGTCGCCACAAATGTCAAACTCGCTGCTCCGTAATGTGCGCCGAAGGCCTTTATAATCATGTGGACTCTTACTGATGGACTTGGGAGATGGAGGCCGAGCAGAGTCGTTGTTTGGATGGATGGACACAGGCATTAACACAGACACTGATGATGTGTTTTTCAACATGTCTCATGGACTCCTGTCGGGAGGAAATCCCATGATTTTTTATTTTTGTAGTGAGAGACGGAGAGATCGGAGCGATCTGTGGCAGATTGATGTTAATGAAGTGCAGACGCAGTCTAAGAACTGGCTTAAAGAGTCAGTAATGTTTTTTTCACTTTGTTGTTGACATTAGATGTTTTTCCTTTTTAGCTATAATGCAAAACCCTTCATTCCTGGGGAGTTTCTGCTTTTATTAGTTTTATACTGTCAAGCTATTATTATAAGGAGATATCTTACGTTTAATGACATTGTTAAAAGCATCTTTCCTCATTTTCGCACATTAGACAAATGAATCGAGGAATTATTCCACAGATCACTAGATATTCAGTTAGTGGCCGGACACAAACGAGAGCACTTTCTCTGTCAAAGAGCTGTATCTACTTTTATTTGACTAATGTCTCATCTTCCATGTGGTTTCTTCAAATCTGCAGACATCACATATATTGCACCGAGTTATAGTTGGAGGTAGTTCAGTTTTTGTTCTCTGTCCTAAATGTAATTGAACTCTTTAAGTACCTGGGAGAGACACTTGAGGGCAGTATCACTTCACTACTGTTTGTGTAGCTTTCAAAACAATATATTATCAAATGTCTATACTATACAGAATATTGCAAAAACAAAAAAGAGCCATGTTTAGGATTGTATATGCAAGGACTTCAGATGGTACAGTTTCAAGAGAGAATAATTGATCATGGATTATTCACATGGCATTTTATGTTCAGCAAAATATATATTTTTCTTTTTGTGACTTTCATAATTACCTATGTGTAATTTCTATCCAATATGCCAGAATATTCATAAAAAATGTATTTTATCTGCGAGTTTGTGAAATGGTATGAGCAGTTTCTTTTTGTTTCGACTTTAGCCGTTTTATTTCACTCAGACTTTCAAGAAAAGTGAAGTTGCTTTACTGTGGAAAGCGTGGAAAAACTGTAAAACAAGACACAATTGTGCTTCAGTCCACATTTTATTTAGGAATGTAAAAGACAATTCCTTTTACTCAAAATAAGAAAAAAATAAATATGTTTCAAAAATAAGACAAACATATGAATATGGAAGGTAAAAGTATCCATAAATACACAATGAAAAAATAAATAAAATCAATGTTTTTTGGGTTCTGTCTGCGTCAGTCCAAATGCAATATATAATGAAAACCGTTTGTTCTATTCATTTCAGTTTTAAATAGGCATGCTAAAATTGCTCTATAATACCTTATTCACAGTAAAACGATAGCAATGTCAGTGTGATATAAAATGTAGCAAAAATCTACAGTATATTTCAGGTCAGAAAATAATCCACATATGCAACAAAACTGTTTACAGAAGCACAGCAAATCTAGATTCATCTACAGCCAAGAAAAATCTGAATATGTTCAGTATTGCAAAGCTTTGTGATCCGCACACACACACACACACACACAGTCATTCACTATTGTGAAGTCCAGGCTGACTGAAATACGCAGAATACTTCCTGGAACATGGCGATGCTCTGAAGCTTAGAGGACGCTCCGTTTACACATCAGAAAAGTCTGGATTTGAACCTGAAGTGATACAGCTAGAAGAAAATCACAACTAAACTACAAGACTACAAATGAGACATTCTGTTCTGATGGAAATGAGCATCCTTTGAAACCAACAGCATTTTTCTATGTCATATTACTATTAACACAAAAAGATACATGTGTGTGTATGCAGGTTTGTGCTGTGTCACTTCTGGGGAACCAGGAGTCAGTTCAATTACAGATCGATCCTTTGATCTTTCTAAAAAAGTATTTGAAGGCTTAGAACTAGACAAATGCAATAATGAAAACCAATCATTTGGGAGTAGAACTACAAGCACAACAGGACCTGTGAAACAAAACTAAGCAACGCTTTTATTTTCAAAAGAAGTATGATGTTAGCCATGGGGATGAAAATAAATGATGTAATGGGACCACAAACAAGTACCAAACAACCGCTCATTACATCACTAGATAGCTTGAATTTATAAAAAGGTAAATATCTGACCAGTGTGTTTTAAAACATCTGTTGTTTCAGCAAAATGTGTTAAAAAAGATCACATTTCCATTGCCAGTGTAAAGCCCGGATGACCCAACGATCAATGAAGTATTGAGTTTTGTAAGACTGAATCAGGACAACGCTCATGGTAAATAATAGAAACGTAGCTGTGATACTGGTGTCGTTTATGTCATCACAAGTTCATTTAAAGCATAACCTATAGGATAATATTCCAGATGTTTCTGAATATTAAGAAATGCCATGAAAAGACCAAGAGCCACATATTATTGGTTCGTCTAACAAGTTCTGTTTTTATATGAACATAGTTTTTCTGTGTTATAGAGCACTATTGTTCTTTAAAAACATTAAAGACATACCACTGGGCAATCTGCATTACGTATGCATTCATAATGATACTGCACATCTGAAAATAGTCCCAAACAAATGCATTATTAACTCATACTTGTGTGCCGTTTGATAACAACTAAAAAACCATGCAAAATTAGAAGAATTTGAGTTTTTCTGAGCAGTCTTTGAAATGTACCTCCTCATTCAAGTCAAATGGGCTCCTGGGCAGAAAACAGATGTGCAGATGTAGCAGGATGACTCTGCACTAAACAGAGACATTTGCAGATCCTGTGACGGACAGGTTCGGAGGCTCCAACTGTGACCTTATGAATGTGAGTGTACAATTAGACTGCTGTCAGATATCTGCTCACCAGGGGGGGGGTTGATGCTTGTCATTTGGCCTTCATGGAAAATGCAAACTGTGAGGAGGGCCATGTACTCTACGGGAGGTATGGTAAGAAGCACAAAAAGACAAAAATGCATTCATATTGATTTGGATCACACCAGGTAAAGGTAAAGTAGTGTGAAAGTCCAGCTAACAGAAATACCAGGAGACATTTCCTGTGTGTTGGAGTGTGACAGCTCCACAGGAGTCTGGCAGACATAAAAACACTGAGTGTGCAGACAGAAGGAGAGAAAGCCACAACATTGAAAAGTCAAATCTAAATCCCTGCAGGCTGAGCAGCTGGAGTTGTTTTCGTTTCCTCTCTCCTCACCCCCATTACCTGCTAAAACTACATTTTTAGAGATTCACACCCACAGAAACAAACACGCCTGCATTTACTGATTCCAACACCACTTTGACACTCGTCATCTGCAAAACTGTGTTGAGTGAACGCACAACAAAAAGAAGCTTCAATCAATGCGAAAGTAAAGATTTGAGAGCAGACACAAGGTCGGATTTTCGGAACAGATATTTTGTGTAGAATCAAATATCAAACTGCTTGGCAGAATAAAAGATGACAATCTGCTAACCTGAAAATGTTTGCAGGTCACACACTGGCTGTTACACCTTTGTGAAATGTACAGAAAACTAGAAGCAACATGTCAAAGAACCATCCAGACGACAGGATGAGGAAAACATCTAAATGACTCGTAAACATCCTCAAGGTCACACATAACTAACTGCATGGTTGTTATGGCAACACCAGATCCATTTTGATCAAAAATATCAGAGTGTAACAAAAGAATCCCATTACAACTTGAGAGATTCACTGTAAACAACCTAAAAATGCCGCAGAGCCTTACTCAACCCAAGAGGACACCAAGCTGTAACAGCAAAGTAGTTCTTCATAGTTGTAATTTACAAAGCTCACCAATATCCTTCATCATCAGTGTGAATGGGTTGCTTGATGGTTGTAAGAACATAATCACGTTTTGTTTTTTCCAACACTTTTGAAGTTTTCTGCACCTGAAAATGGTTGTGGTTAATGTAAAAGAAGGTGGAAAACACTGAGGAAGCAAAAACAGACTCAACAGTGACACTTCACTCAGATCTGCTCTCATTGTGTCGAAATCTGAGTGGTGATGCCTTCAAAATCTGTTTAAAGAAAGCACTACATTCAAGTCAAGCGACCTTTCTCCAAGTATTCTTCCTCGTGGCAATCCTGATTCTGTCCTCACACTCAAAAACCTCTTCCCTACTTATTTTTGGGGAATATGTACTTTTGCACTTCATCTGAGTTTCTGCATTCTGTGCATACAGAAATACACAGTGTGCAGGGGAAAAGCTGACACCAACAAAAAAAAGAAGAGAGACTGAAGCAGACGAGCAGACAGACAGACCCTGTGGATGTGAACAGCTGAAACACACACACACACACACACACACACACACACACACACACACACACACACACACACACACACACACACACACACACACACACACACACACACACACACACACACACACACACACACACACACACACACACACACACACACACAGGCTGCTCACACTGATGAAAGAATGGTATGAGGGGGAAAATAGGAAATGACAGTGTATGAAAATGACTGTCAAAAATGGGTAAATTCTAGTTTTTGTATATCCTCCATTAAGACTTCTAAATAATAATAAAAAAGAGACGAGAGGCATTGAATGCAAAAGAGGTGACAACATCCATTATGCTAAACATGAGCACACAGAGGCGTTGATCTGGAGCTGATTCTCTGTCCGTCTGTATTTATATTGTAGCTGAATAAATAAAATGTCTCACTCTTTGCGCATTGAAATTCTTCCCTCCTTCTGTCCATATCCTCCATAAAATATGATATGGATGCAGGCTTTAAAAAGATATCATAGTTTCATGTTAAAAGGGTTCACTAGAAACGTAAAACAAACAATGAAACACTTTTAGGTAAAATTGACAGCAAGAGTCGACAAAGATTCAAATAATAGAGGAATATGTATCCACCTTTAGTTTAATGTTAAGCTGTTTTATTAGTCCTGAATAAAAACCTGCCCAGTGCACCAACACGGATACCATAACCATTGTGTCCGTGCGTACATCACGCACTTCCTGTTACAGCCAGTCATCGTATCTGGGCTATCCTGATGTATTGGCATTATCTGATCTCACCTGCTATTGGCTTTCACAGTGTGTGAGCGTTGTTGCCATGACGATGCAAGTAGCACTTTTCTCTGTAATATATAATCAGATAAGAGCAGAATACGAAAACACATACAAACAGGGAAAGAAAGCTGTTACCATTACGTAGGAGTTTAATACTGTGTGAGGAATTTAGAAAAATTTACATTTTACATTCAACTTTCTACAGGAGCTTTAGTTATTGCCGGTTTGTGCACATAAAAGAAAAGCTAATGTCAATGCCGTAATATTAAAATACCAATCCCTCTCCTAAATGAACAACATCAAACCTTGTGGACATGGAGTATAATTCACAGCCTTTGCTCTAACAAATCAAAGCATCTAACTAGCCTATTTTCACAAAGTATGCATACAAACATTATCTGTTAGGTTTTAAAAACAGTTGGCAAGAAATGAGCTACGGGAAGATCATAGGTAATAGTTGCTTTTTCTCTATAAAAACTGCCCATTGATAAAAACTAAAGTAAATATCACAGTGGCTCGTTATAGTAGCATGTGATGAGCAAAAAGCAAGAAAAGAGCTACAAATGTTTGATACTAAAGTCCCAAAAACGAAATTAAATGTGTCCCAATCTCACACTATACCACAAGAACATATACATATTTATTGTATACTATGTATTTTTAGTATACTGTGGTAAACAATATACAAAAACATATTTGATAGTGACGGGAAATTTGGAATATCACCATCATTCACACAGAAGCTTCATGTTTTTCAAAAGATTGATTTGTTTGGTTTTAATTCTGGAGATGATTCACAACTATCAACCAATTGTTTGATTCTTTTCTCCAATCTTTGGAAAGCTGCTCAATTTGTGTGTTTTTCAAATACATACTAAGTGGTTTTAAAATACTTTCCTTTGGCACTTTAACAGTGCAAACTACATAATACAAAACAGCTTTGAGTCAGTATGTAGTATTGATTTAGGACAAACTGGCAGGCTTAATATTCAAATTGCAGCTAGAAATAAAAGTAACGCTTCTGTTACAATCCGACAGATCTTCCCAAAAACACCCCAATCTGTTACGACAGAGAGATAGAAGAGAAAGGACTTCTAATATTTGGCTTAATGTTAAAAACCAAACCAGATAAATACATTTAACACAATTTGATTCAATATTGATAAATTGCCTTGGAATATTATTATATTATATTACAAAGATATAACAGTAGGCCTATAGATTAAAAAAAAGGGTTGTACACGCAGTAAATGTGTTCCTGTCAGTCGTGTAGTACAATACGCTCAAAAGAGCTGGGAAACGTTTATCATTGTAATATTGTCTGTTACGCATGGCTTTATATATTCTGTATTACACACTGTATTTACAGCAGCCTTTTATTTTCTGTCCTGTCTTTATAAAGAAAGGTCCATTCGATAAGGGAAGCTATTGTAAAGTCACCACAATAAAGGGCCTTGATTGGATCAGGCCCTTTCTCTTTTTTCCTGATGTGCTCCCAAACCTTGGGATTGAAATGGCTGACACTTCCCACAGAAACAGCATATCAACAGGCATAAACACACGCACACACACTCTTAAAGGTGGGGTAGGTCATTTTGGAGAAACCAGCTCGAGTGCGCTAGAGTTTGAAAATACACAGCCGGAAAAAATCAGCCACTTCCTTACAGAGCCCCTCCTCCAACACACATGAACGTGCACATGACCAATGAGGGCACGAGATAAGTTTGTGCCCAGATGGAAGGCTGACAGGCAGGTAGGCCATCCAGTTACTTTAGCCGGGCCGGCTAAAATGATTGGTCGTGCTTTTTACAGTACTACGGCTTCCACTGAGGATATTTTTTCATGGATTTTTGTCAAAGGACTTAAGATATTCATTGCTATCGGGATGTTAAGAGCATTTCATGAAATATATCAAAAAGTGTATCTCGAGCCGGTTTCTCAAACGTACCTACCCCACCTTTAATATCCACGGGGGGAGATATAAAAGAGGAAACCTGGGCAATACAAAGAAAAGACACTGAAGCGGGTACAAACAGATGTCAGCTCGACTGACGGATCAAAGCGCGGGTTTGAAAGCAGAGAGAGAGAGAGAGAGAGAGAGAGAGAGGAGAGAGAGAGAGAGAGGAGAGAGAGAGAGAGAGAGAGAGAGAGAGAGAGAGAGAGAGAGAGAGAGAGAGACCTGACAGTTTCAGCTGGCAGACACACAGGTCGCCTGGCTGCAGATACAAAAGCAGCTTATACGTACAGATACAGTATACTTTAGTTTACATTATATTAGAAAAATGTACAAGATAATATTATTTGAGTACAGTTCACACATTGACTGAGAAACAACAGTTTAGTTAAAGAGTAAAGTTAAGGCTTGAACAGGACAAAAGCAACACCGTGTTTGTGGCTATGTGTGTGTGTGTGTGTGTGTTTCTGAGTGTGTGTGTGTGTGTGTGTGTGTGTGTGTGTGTGTGTGTGTGTGTGTGTGTGTGTGTGTGTGTGTGTGTGTGTGTGTGTGTGTACATAAGTGCCAGGATCAAAGAAGAGCACTATGGCTTACTTTCACTTGAGCCATTTGCAACCCCTAATTCTATTAAACTCAATACCTACTGTAGGGATGCAAAATGGCAGCCACAGAAAGGCCACTAGAGGGAGCTGTGGCATCCAGCGTATTCCCTCCATAAGCTTTAGGCTTCAAGGTGGTTTGGTTCATTTTAGAGCCTCTTCCTCTTAAAGTAGTCAGCGTACTGCCCTCCAAGGCCCTGGGAGTGCTGCCCGATGTAGGCGCCGTCTGATGCTGTCACTTCCTGCACCGCCAGCTGAGGGTACTCCCTCTTATGACCCCGTGTCTGGTTCTGAAGGGAAGAGTTAGGGGTGAAGAAATTATGTTTTGTAATATTTAAAAGTCTAAAAGGATCAATGTTACTGCTGTTTCACTGCCTGATGGATGTCACATGTTGTGTGTTGGATTGTAATTATTTTAAAGAAAATGCCATCAAACTTCAATACCTTTTCTTAAACATCAAAGAAAATGTCATAGTATATTTATTTTTGTTTTGTGTTTAATAACTTTTTGGAATTTTCTTTGTAACTATATTTTTCAGACAAACTGTACTATGACCTTTTATTTAACTTACTCTCTTCTCTCTTGCTGATTAATGATTCGTCAAACATATGGGAGTCTTAATGTCTAGACTACCTGATCAAATTGGTTGATACCTCAAACTGGAGTTAAACTAAAGTACTATTATCTTTGTTTTTAAATGACAGTTTATAATATGTTTCTTAATGTCTTTCATTTTTGTAAAGCACTTTGAATTGCCATGTGTTGAAAGGTGCTATATAAATAAACTTGCCTTGCCTTGCCTAAAGAAAGAAAGAGATTCCAAAACATTTGGAAATAATCTTGTGGATTTCACAAAAATGCACACATCCTGTGTTTGTGTGTAAAGGTTGCTCTCTCCACTGAGAGAGGGCCACAGAAGCTGTCTGTACAAACACATATAAATCTATCCAGAGACGTGGCTTATCTCAGGCGTCTGGATGCTCTCTGCCTCTCTCTCTGAGTCCTCTCCTTCTCTCATTAGCTTTCATGGCCTTAGACTTTGAGGACTGTGGCTGTGTTTTAAGGCTGTAATGTGGTTACAGCCTTAAAACCTAGACAAAAAGGTCACACACAGTCCGCGGCCGCTGTTCCTTAAAATGGTGGCATTTGACCCTAAAGGAAAGCAGTGTGCACCAAAAGGATTGTGAGCACTCCAATAGACTTATAATAAAAGGACATGCAAGGTGACATCAAGGTTTGTCACTAATGTATCTTGCTTTTATCTGCAGTCAAGTCGGATTGAGAGCCTCGTCAGTGTTTTATCATTTGGGTAGTAATGCATTTACAACAGCCGGTAACGCAATAAACACTTCCTGTCTCTGCTTCACATGAAAATCCTTTCATTGACTTTTCTGTTTGCTTATATTGTGAATCAACAACAGTAATCCTTGTACTATACATGAGTTTCAATAACTAGGTTTTCAAATGTAAACAACAGTTGTGTGACTCCTGCAGACCACTCATTAAATACATATTCATAAAGGTGTCTGTTTTATATTACTTTGGCATTTGTTTAAGGATAAGCTTATCACACCTAAATCCTTCCAGTAGAGTTTTTTCTGCTGAAAATGAGTGAGCTGAACAGTGATCCACCAGCAACCCACTGTCAACAACGAATACTGCACACTAATATCAGCAGTCATAGGGGCAACCCTGAAGGGGGGTGGCTGGAAAATGAAATGTTTGGATTGTGTTGCTCTGAACTATCACTTCAAGAGAGAAAGAAGCAAAACCAAAAAAGAGTTTTCTCCAGTTTCACTCAGAGGTACTAAAATGTCACATCCTTTATTACAAGTGTGATGGATGAAGAGGTAAGGAAGAAATATTTATATATTTCACTTCAAAATACTCATTCAAAATCCTGAGTTTGAAATGTAGTGAGTATCCAAGTTATTAAGTATTGTACCTCAGAATTATAACTCTCCAACCCTGCTCACATATGTACCTAAAGAGTCTCATCCTATATTAAGTGAGCATTTTCTATACTCACGTAGTAGTAGGTGTTCCAGTCGGGGGCTGCAGGGTGTGTGACGGGGCTGGGTGCGGCGGCTGCAGGGTGTGGCGCCCCCAGGAAGCCGGGCATTAAAGGCAGGGTGCTGTAGGCAGGGAGCACGGCAGCAGCTGGCAGGATGGCCGTGGGAGGGGGGGCGCCGTTACTGACTGGGTGCAGAGACACTCCTAGAGGCTTACACACATCCACCTCCTGGAAGAGACAAGCACATATTGAACGCCAGCTGGTTGACTGTCTTGAGACTACAAGTCAGAAGCAGCACAATAAAGACAATGTTTCCTGAAGCACTTTCATTTTAGGATCTGTTTTATAAAAAAATAAATGGACTCGCGCTCTTTTATTATCTCTGCCGAGGTTTGTTTTCTGTTTTGTTTGTTTGTCAACGCGATTACTGACAAACTACTTGTCTGATTTTCATGAAATTTGGTCGAGGGTGAGGCATGGGCCAAGGAAGAGCCCGTTACATTTCAGACGTTATCGGAATTACACTGGCGGTTATACAGCCTTGGTGGAGGACTGAGCCCTATAAGTGCCTTTCTTGTCTCCTTACTGCTAATATAAGACACATTCAGTCTGGCTCACTTATATGCCTTAAAGTTCCCCTATTATACTCTTTTCTAACAATATATTATAGGCCTCAGATTAGGGCTGTGCATCTTCACTGGTCTCACGATTCGATTATCCTGTCAACGATTCGATTCAATTCGATATCCCGATGCATCACGATTCATACCAATGCGTTGCATCCTCAATTTTCTATATTACTGCACATGGCTTATTTTTCATCAATGCATACATGCAGTAAATACATATGAACTCTTTTTATTATTTAGAAAGTGCTTCAGAAATCAATAACATAAATGTCTTGACATTCATTTATAAACCAAAATAAATGAATTGTATAGGTCTAGCCTCCCTATATCTGTGTGTGAAGTTGTTCCATCCTCAAAAACAAAAAAAGAATGCTTCTGCAGTCTAGCTGCAGCTTCTAGCAACGGTCTTCTGTTAAAAAAAGGACACTGAATGTCCTGAATGTGGCATCACACACAGGACTTGAGTCTGAACACAGCAGACAACAGGAGTATTTACAACAGCATAACAACTAAAATACTGCATGTGGGTGCACACTTACATTCTCTGTCTTACATAAATCCCATGAATGTATGAGATTAAGTTAGCTTCATTATATCTCAGTGATTAAGTGAATAATAAAGTTTCTATCGGGTCACTATCAGCCTGTCACTCATTATTTTCAGGAAGGGGGCGGGGTTTGGAGGAACGGAGGAGACGGTGATCGCGGAAGCTTTTTTCCTCCTGCCTTCACAAACTTTACACACGTATCGTCTGAAAATTGCTAGAGGACATTCATACTTTGCAATCCAAGACTTAATTAAATCCACCAAAAACCTGACTTGATTGTAACGCGATTATTTTTGAAAAACATAAATCCCTGTGCCGCAGCGACACGGAGTGATTCAGAGCGGGTTCTTCTGCTGTTGGTTCTGGACTGGTGGTGTTGGGTTGGTGGATAAAGCAGACTACTCCGTGTTTGGTGTTGCTGTGCCGCTGTCACGTCTGTTCCCTGATCTCTGCGTCACCGACCGATTTGATATTAAAGTGACAGAAAAAAAAAACGTTATAGTAAAGCCGCGGCCGGAAAATCAGGAAGCAACGTTACTACGCTATAACCGATTATCTTCCGTCACTGCATCGAGACCGAATCTTCCACGTCCGCATCGCAATGCATCGTAGAAACGATTATTTTCAACACCCCTACCTCAGATAACATGTCTCTGAAGTGTTTGGCATGAAATACCAAACAGATCATGCATTGTAGCATCCCATAATCCCCTCTGTTTCAAAAGTGCTGATTCTGTATCTTTAGCTTTAAATGCTAATGAGCTGCCACTCCCCTGGCCCCTCTAAGAAGTGATTGGTTTAAAAAAACAAAAACACGATGGTGCTCTGGAAGGAGATTCAGGGATATTGGCTAATGGTTGCACAACCGTGAAAATAATTGTGACATCATGAAGTGGCCCAAATCTGATCAGCTCATTTTCAGACAGGTTTTTATATAAATGGATCAGGACAAAAAGAGAGAGAGTAATTCTTCCTGAAACCTTCCAAATCTCTTAACTCTGAGGGGACACATATTTATGTATGAAAGACATGGAAAAGGGCATTTTGCATAATATGTGACCTTTAATGTATGTCTGTTATGCCTGTTGGACGGCAGTAGCTCAGTCTGTTGCTGGTACCTGGAGAAGTGCCAGTTTGCATTCCACCTTTGGAGTGGACAGGAGGCTGACATTTCACTGTGTTTGCTGTTCGGTGTATGTGTGATCATAAAGACAAGAATAAAGAAAAAATGGCACTAAGTTGTTGCCATGGGCTTCTTGTTTTTTTAAGGAAACCAGCCAAAACTAGAAAAAAAGGTGTCCTGCTATCACCCTGAAGTGAAATACGTCTTTGATACTGGAGAGTTTTTGTTTTATTCTTATCTAAAAACAGAGGGATGATAGCTCATATATGAGACTTCAAAGGTCTTTTATTTTGAAACTGTACATCAGATTGTCCTGATATTCTCTGAGTGGCTAGTTGGGGTGTGCTGCTATCACCCTGGAGAGAAATAAGTCTTTGATAATTGACAGTTTTTTATTTATTCTTATCTAAAAACAGAAGGACGATAGACCATGGCCGTTTCTCAATGTCGAGTATACCTGCTGCAGAGCCACTATTTCAAGTATACTACGTCATTGAGTGGCGCCGAATGCTGGGCATTTAACATGCATTTAAACAGTCCTTCGGCGCCACTCGATAAAGTATACTTGAAATAGTGGCTCTGCAGCAGCTTTACTCGACATTGAGAAATGGCCCATATATCAGATTTAAAAAGTATTTTTATTTTGAAACTCCTTAAGTTGTACATTCACTGTTATAATGTGGTAGTTTCCGCTAGGATTCTTTCTTGCCGGTCAAATGTCCCGAAATAATTTATTTTACCGGACAAATTTGAAACTTACCGGTCATGTTTCAATAATAATAATAAGAATTGTGTAGCAGAGTTTCCGTTAGCAGGTAATTAGCGGACTATGATCGTCACCGGATATGCTTCAGTTTAAAACTCAGTTAATCGGAGTCATTTTTTTTATATTGCTTCAGTTTATAATCGTAATAGATTGAAAAGTTCAGATTCATTTTTCAATAAATGATGCGCTTCCACAAACAACATCATTATTACATTCAAACAAACTACTTATAGTAGATAAAGTACATTATTCAAAAGTTTACATTGGATAATAACACGGGAGAAACGGATCCTCTCCCTCCCTCCCTCTCTCCTGACAGCCCGTCTGTATCTCATGCAGCTCGCTAAACAGTGGGCGGAGCTTCAGGTGATCACGCAGAGCTGCGTGTCTCCGTCAGACTCAGCAGCTGATCTGATCTCTCTCTCGCGTCCCGTTATACTTCACTCGTGTTTATGTCCATATCGATCAGATCCAGCTCTCCTGATCGGCCTTTATAGAGAGCACCGATCAAATTATTAAGAGTGAATATCGGCCGATATATGATCGGCGGCCAATCGATCGGAGCATCCCTAATTATTACCGGACATTTTGACCGGCAGGTTTTGAATTTACCGGTTTTTAATAAATGTTACCGGTAATTACCGGCTAACGGAAACCCTGTTCCAGAGGTGCTTTGGTTGATCGGATTACATTCCGTCCTCACATTTTCACCTTCACTTTTATGTGGTCACGCACGCTCTATCCGATTGCAATGCGATCACCGGAATTGCATTTTATCATATGGTGTAAAGCTGTAATAATGTCAGGAACCCATCGTGTCATTTTCTCCGAGATATCTGTTTCTCCAGCAACAGTCACTCAATGGACCAGAATGCAACTCTGGCTGCGTCTTCAAGCAGGCCCGCCTCCATAGCGGCAGATAAGCCAAGTCTTTTCTGCTATCAGCTGCTGGGTGCAGAGTGATGTGTTCCCTCTAACAGGCTATCAGTGTCTTAGAGAGAGGTCAAAGACAAACATGTAAATACCAGCATGCTCCTCTGAAGGCCGCGGCTCAGATCATTTACACTACTGGGCAGGATGTTGTTTTGATTTAGTTTTAAAGAGCTTCTGGTTTATATGGAGCTGGTCAGGTATTATAGATCACATTTACTCATGCTTTCAAGACATTTTGAGGGCTCTGCTGGGCATGTATTGTTTGGGGAGTGTGTGTGTACCTTGCTGACGTAGGCCTGGCTGGCTGCAGCAGGCTGAGAGTAGTACTGAGTGACAGCCTGCATGTAGGAGTTGTAATCCCCATAGGTGGTCACTGGAGGAGCCTGGGACAGAAGATGGTAATTGTACAAAGTTTTTAGTAAGTAAAGGAATTGATGCGTATCAACTATAAATAATAAAAACAGGCATTACTTTTTGAATCGTTAAGGTGTTAACATGCTATTTAAAGTCAAAACCCTAAAAAAGAAGACAAAGCAAACCAGGGATAGGGATTGAAGAGAGTTGAAAAAAAGAGTAAGGAAATATTGCCACTTATTATAGAACTTATCAGAGTTAGCTCCCCCTGAATATCTAATCTTCTCTAAATTTAGAACAGACTTAATATCACAGAGCCACTGAGTGCTAGAGGGAGCTTTAATATACTTCCAGTGAGGAAGAAGATCTCTTCAATTTCTGAGAAAGTATTCTGAGCTCCCATAACCACCTGCTGTTCTCTGTGATCTGAATCAAACAGCTTCTCAAATGTTGTGTATTTGAAAATTAAAGATTTCAAACCAATCAACTCGTTTTTGGAGAAATAAAATGTAACAAATACAACTACAGCTTAAGGCAAGTTAGGTTTAAGCCTTTTTCAAAAATGTTAAAGGTTGTATAAGACATTTTAATACAAGAGAGACGTTATTGTATATTTGTAGATGCCTTTAACAACTTTTTTAAGGACCTGCAGGAACCCTGAAACAAATCATAGATTTACACAGACAAATACATGCTACATCCCACACAGTTAAATACATGTGTGTGTTACCTGTGTGTGCTCCTTGCTGTAGTCTGTGGCCGTGTTGTTCTGCTGAGCGGCGGCGCTGTAGCTCTGAGCTTGTGCTTGGTAGTGCTGGTACCACTGCTGCATGGCCTCCTATGGCACAAAGACAGATTCATGTTTGCTCGGGATTTTCTTGTCTTTGCTTCATTTCTACGTCCCTTTTTATTTTATTCTTTCTTTCTAACTTATAAAGTATTATTCCTACAAACAGCTCTCCTCCATTACTCGTCTTTGTCTCGTCATAGTAGCAAAAGTAAACTGACCGTTTTATTGGTTATCTAATCAGGATTAATTTGTTTGGATAAGTGGATTGTAATTAACATTTAAAAATATGGTTCTCTCCTTTGTGAAAATATCCGATATGTCACTTGCTGCTGGAGGAAGCATAACAATGATGAGAGCTGAGACAAACAGGTGAAAGAAAGAAGAAAGAAAGACAGAAAGAGATGCAGACCAACATGACGGATGAGTGTGGCGTGTTAAGAGAGACAAAGGGACAGATGGAGTGAAACAGCTCTCTGTGCCAAATCCTCTCATACTGTCTGTCCAAATATCCATATCCATTCTCATCTCTTCCAGCGCCTTGTCTCCCCTACTTACAGCTCTCTCTGTCACTACTGCTCTCATCCATCCACTCATTATGTATCCATCTATCGATCACCTTTTCAGCCACCATCCCTCTCTCTCTCTCTCTCTCGCATTTAACACAATTGTGCAAAGCAGACCCACAAACATCCATCAAACATCCTATTTCTACATGTTTCTCTGTTGAGTCTGTTTCTGTACCTGTGTGTAGGCCTGGTTGTATTGGCTGTAGTCATTGGAGGTATCTGTGGTGTATTGGGCTGTGGTTGTAGCTGCGGCGCTGTGGGAGTAGGAGCCGGACCCCTGGGAGACCACGGGGCCCACCGGGCTGCCGTACACCCCGGAGCCAGGCGGGCCTCCCTGTGCTTTACTCCCCACTGACCCTGGGCAGCAGAGGAGGAGACACAAGAGTTACGTAATGTTGCGTTTTATCACACTTCATTTCATTTTGCCACCATGACATTATTTCATGGCCTAATTGCATTTCATATTGACCATAGCCATTTTGTTGTTTCTTACTATAATGTTTGGTGTTTTCTTTACATGTTGCTGTTGTGTTTTGGGACAAATGCTTTGGAGGAAGACCTCAAAAGAGTTGCTGGGATTTTTTGGTTAGAAATGTAGCTCTCATATGCAAAGCTGTAAACATGTCACATTTCTTTGATATGATTCTGGATTGCTGTTTAAATTATTTGTACAGTAACTGCTGCAAATCCAAGCTGACCACCTTTGCCTCGTCAAAAAAAGAAGGAAGCTATAAACTTTCAGGCAGCTCAAAAGATAGAACTATTTTTATTAAAAGGAGGGAACGTGTGGTCCTTGAGGCACATAAATAGTTTTTTTATTAATTACATTACATTATTACATTACATTGCATTTAGCTGACGCTTTTATCCAAAGCGACTTACAATAAGTACATTCGACCAGGAAGACACAACCTTGAAGAAAACAGAATCATATAAGTACATCAGGTTTCATAGAGCCAAACATTTCAAGTGCTACTCAACTGGCTTTAGGTAAGCCAGTCCTTTATTAGTATAAAAGTGCTTCGTTAATAGTTCTAACGCTCGAAGTGGAATTAATAAATGTAATGGGTTCAGAATAGACCCTTTATCTGGAAAATGTGTAATGTTTGTGAGCTCACCTTGCAGAACCACTCCCGGCATCACACTGGCCAGGTTCAGGTAGGGATTGGAGGGCATTCTGACTTCTTTAGGAGGATCACCCAACAGAGAGCCCTGGCCATTGCTTGCCTAAACACACACAAATTGTATTATTTATGATGCAGTTAGCAGGTTTTCAGGTCAATGGAAACTTCACGCTGCAAGTCCAAAAGCAAATTACATTCCTTTAACCTCTAATCCATCAGTTTTGCATCCTTTATATCCACATGTTGTATTGGAGTTTCAACCACACCAACCTGGACATTAAGCTTTTTTAATTTTGCAAAGATTCTGACGTGGCTGAAGATGCTGTGGAAACCTGGGAGGATTGGACTCTGTTTAATTACACTTTGCCTCCATTAAAGACTCTTTAGAGAAGACAGTGCTGGGACAGGAATCAGTTCCCCGAAGAACTTTGGCACTGTGATTATCTCTGTGCAATAACGTATTACGGATAACGACGTTGGCATAGCAGTGCTTTATTTAAACCAGGCGGAGGCAAAGAGATTCAGTGTGTGCAAAAAGTAAACCAGCAGGAAGACAGCTTCTTCCTGTATTAGTAAATATGTGTGAGACAGAAGTGCATTATGGGAATTTCCCCATAGAATAGCCCTTAAGGGACTGTGGCTGTTATTCATACACTCACTCACTGTGTGTGTTTTGAAGCCCTGATGAGGCTAAATCAGGAATAAGTACCAGTCCACAAGCGACACGTAGTTCATGGGTAGAGAGAGAGAATAGTGAAGGACTGCAACAAACAAATCGCTTCATTATTTTCTAAATCGGGGTATCTATAACATTTCATGAAATTGTGAAAACGCCCATTGCGACTCATTCAAAAACAGGCAAATGTTATAAAATGTGTGCTACCTTATTATTACATTTGAAGAAGTTTTTAATCCTGCAAATCCAAACAATGTAATGTTAGGCAATGTAATATTATTTGTATGATACAACTGGCAGCATCACTTCCATTTGTGGCTGCGTAGTGGTCGAGGGTTAGTGTTGTTTTTGACCTGTATGATCCAAACATTTACAATACCTCCAGAGCATTGTAAAGTCCAAAGGGCAACAATAAAACAAAAACAAATCAGTCATGCTAGTCAGCCATCATTACCATATTTGGAACATTTCACAAGATTCTCTTTGTAAAATGTGAAACACTGTAAAACATAACGTTGCCTGTTTTACATCAGTTTGAATCAGAAACACTGATTAACATTTAAAAATAGATAAGCAAACCAGGTCAGAATACCATTAACTGTGTGGGATTTCTTTAGTGTGTGTTTGTTACAATAATATCAAATTTTCTCTGTCTTATACATTTTGCACAGCAACAGCTTCTTCACTTCAAAGACAAACGCATCAGCAGCGTAAGACACCTTTTTTTGTGTGTGTGTCTTTGTGCTCACCATGCTAGCCAGGGGGCAGCCGTCTGAGCTGCTGTGCTGGCCTGCTGACGTATAAACCCCTCCTGGAGGTGGGCCGAGGCCTGAGTGAGTGATGCCCAGGGAGTAGCCCTGTCCCTGGGGGTGGCAGCCGCCCAGGGTCCCAGGGGGAGCGGGCTGCCTGTCACAGGAGAAGGAAGCAGAAGGGTGTGTGGAGATAGCATGGTTGCTGTTTTGTTCTCCAGCTCGACCCTGGAGGTATGGCATCACACCTGCTGCAGATACCACTACTGAGGCATTGTGGGTAGACAATTGCACAGACTCCTGGCCCAACTCTGAAAGAGAAGAGGAAAGGAAAGTTAGGGGGGAAAAAGCATTCGCGAAAGGAAATGCAATAAAAAGGATGAGGTTAGAATTTAGAAAGGTAAGGAAAAAAGGAAGCAAAAGTCAAGTTAAAGAACGGTAAGAACACAGGAAATGAAAGAGAAGACAGACGGAAAGGAAAGGTAAAGGTGGTAAGCAATACAAAGTAAAGGGAACAAGAGGAACATAGTTTGGTTAAGACGCATAAAATACAGAGGCAAAGTGAGTGAAATGAAAGCAAGGATCAGATAAGAAAAGTCACTTTATTCTCCAGTGGAAATGTAGCTTAAGCTATAGTGCTGCGATCAACTTGCCAGATAAACACTTGAGTTTTTTTCACTTATGACCATCAGCGTCTCTGTCTCCTGGACAGAGACGAATCACTCAGACAGGCTGGAAACTGAGCTCGACCATCTCTGCAGAGCCAGTTGTAATGTTTGAGAGTCAGTTTCCTGCTCATACATCATCGCTTATCATGTATATTTACAGCCCAGCACTTTGCTCCGCACTACCAATATTTCACTCACTTCAGGGTTTAATAAACAAAAATATGTTACCACAAAGACAAACATAAAAGGAACATACACAGACATAAAAGCACACATAATTTAAAGCTGCTCGCACACACAGTAAATGTGCAAATAAACACAATCACACTTATTATAAATCCAATATCGCTGTGACAAATGGCCTCCAGAGCACAATAAGAAAATCAGCCTTAAAGGGGACCTATCATGCAAAATGCACTTTTGAACGTCTTTTATACATGAATATGTGTCCCCGGTGTGTCAGGGAACTCACCAAGTGTCAGAAAACACAACCCTCTCTCTTTTCCTCCATACCCAAATCTCTAAAAACGGGGCTGCAACGGAGCTGATTATTATTTGAATTTTTCTGACGTCAGAAAAGGGGTGCTCCGCCTATATGGGCAACTCTCCACCTATCAGGGGAATGAGAGACCGCTCGAAAGCGCTGGAGACGCTGTAGTACATATGCCAGGCCTGTAAGTGGCGCTATAGTCTGCCACAAAAGCAGAATCAGCTCTTGCAAAAACAGGGCTGGAAAAGAGCAAATACCAAACAGATCTTGCATGATCTGTTTGGTATTTTGAAAAAAAAACTTCACAGACATGTTTTATATAGGTATGGCCAGGGCTGGCCCTTGGCATAGGCAGTATAGGCGAATGCTAAGGGCACATCAATCAATGGGGGGCGCCGAAAATTGAAAAAAAAATAAAAAAGTTAGAAATTAAAAAAAGATATTTTTTTAATTTCATAACACAATTTCCCGATTTTGGATCAACAAAGTACATCATATTATCTTATACTAACAGAACTACGCCTATATTGCGTATAGCGTCCATAAACTATGGCGCACCCCCCCCCCCCCCCCAAAATCAAGTTGAACCGCCCCAGCCCCAGTAAAAACCAGTGGTTTATGTGAAATAGTTCTTTTTTTGAAATAATGGTTTTAGTGTGCAATTATAGGTTTTAATTTTGTATTTGTGTTCCTTTAAAATAAATAAAACTCCCAAAAAACGTATACAGCTTTTATTAACATTGGAATTTACTGTGTAAGCGGCCGCGGGGGGGGGGGGGGGGGGGGGGGGGGGGGGGGGGGAGAGCTTTAGAGAGCTCTCTCCTGAAAGACTGAGAGGCTCTGATAACCTCAGCTCAGTGAGGTAAAGGCACACCTTTATATGATCATTATAGTTATACAAAAATAAGAGAATAGATTTGTATCTATTCTCTTATAATATAAAATACTATATGACAGTAAAAAAAAGTTGTTATTAATAAACAAGAATACAGTTTAAAAGGGGAGTGATTTCTTTGTAAAATATCCAAAAAGAAAAAGTAAATCTGCTTACAGTTCTGTTTCATATGGGTGTTGAGAAATGTATCCATAGATCTCTTCATTTTGCTCTCAAAGTGCACCAGATTGATGCTTTTAACTTCAATATAAAAAATAAAAAAATCTTCCCAGGGGAGCATGCCCCCGGACCCCCCAAGAGGAGGTTAGGTCCCCCCCCCCACTTAAATCATGTTCAAATGGATAGGAAACTAAATACATTTGCACACATCTTGTGTCCATATCTTTCTGTTTTGGTGAAATTGGTCAGTGCCGGCCCTGGGTGTGGCCCTACAATATATGTTTCAAATATAGCATGATAGGTCCAGTTTAAGCTAACAATACCAGCAGACATGTACGGTGACAAAAGCTTCACATTATAGACTCACATTACACACACACACACATATACCATGTATACATCACTTCAGGGGACATTACATTGACTTACATGCATTTCCTGGAGACTTATCCTAACCTTAACCATAACCAACACATACCTAACCCTTACCCTTACCCTAACCAAGTCTTCACCCTAAAATGAATGATTCCCCTGATGGGGACCTCCAATTTGTCCCCATAAGGGAGGTGAGTCCCCACACGTGACTGTGTAAACAGATTTAGGTCCCCACAAGTATAGTAATGCTAGGCCACACACACACACACACACACACACACACACACACACACACACACACACACACACACACACACACACACACACACACACACACACACACACACACACACACACACACACACACACACACACAATAGAAGGTGAAAACAACTGATAAGAGATGTGTATAAAAAGAAGCGTGAACATTGTAAAGGTAGTCACTCCATGGACCGACTCGTGTTTACTGTAATTTGTTGAATCTTCAGTTAACTCTATTCTATTGGAACTCTTTTGACTCTGTTGATTTTTTTAAAGTGAAATAAGTGTTAACATAGTGTTGTGAAGATCTCGAAGACATCCGGCCCAACTTCAGAGGTTTCTCCACGACACAACCAAAACAACTATCATTTGTTTGTTGTTATAATCCTATTGTGGTTAGCCAGGTGTTTACATGCAGAGGTGTCTTGCCCACAGTTCTATAAAAAAGAATAACAACATGTTTGAACTTGTTGACATCCAAATCTACCTCAGACATTGTAGTACACAAACACACAACTGCTTATGTCTTTGACATAGCGTTTCACATCCTTTGATTGTTAAAAAATGCTCTGTTCCCAGCTGTTTTACATCAAATTATTTTTTTAAACTTCTGTAGGTTGACTGGGTCCTTTAATGACAGTGAGAAATACCTGAGAAAATACAAATACTCTCTGGGATACTGGGCCTTTGTACTGTACTCTCTTCACTATTAGAAATTAGCCTCAGCTTGGTAAGTGCCAAGTGGTATATTAGTGAAAGCAAAATGTGGGCTTTTGTTATGTTACATTCGATATGTGTGCAGCCCTAACACACTGAAGCGTTAGAGACAGGTGAATTGCTTTTATTACACCCATTTTACAAAAAATAGCGTGTCTCAGTTTATAGTAGATCTCTTTCATGTGCTATGCCCATGTATAGTCAACACATCGTAAGCCCTGTTCAGTTGTGGGTCAGTATACACAAGGTCAGTCGTTTAAATCCCATAAAGTCTGCTTAGAATGGTTTTAAATAAACTTGATTTATATTTCCTTGTAAAGATCTCATTTTAAATAGCCTCAAGTTCAAGTTAAACCTACATTTCAAAGTCAATAAATCATTACCACATTCATTTTGAGCCCTGGGTATAAATAATAAGTAAGTAGCGACACTCAGAAGCTGCTTTGTTTAACAGCATAATACAGAAATAAGGTGCTGTTATTGAAGAGCCGATTAATCACAAGTTTCCAGATGCCCTTGAACAGCAGATGACTGAAGACAAAGAAAATAACTATGGGAGTTTGATTTAACAAAACACTGGTGAGAGACGTACTGCCGGTCTCACTATGGTCTCATGTGTTTGAAGTAATGACACCCAGTCATCTGGAGCGGATGCTCGCCTGCTCACCAGTAGGAGAGTCTCCCAGGAGGCCTTTTCCCAGCGGCACCAGGCCTGGAGGCCGCATAGACAACGCTTTCTGTATCAGCAGCCGGGACGGGTCCCCGAGCAGACTGCAGACCTGCGCAGAGGAGAGGAGAAAAGTCAGTGGAAGGGAGTGGAGGAAGAAAATAATGGGACAACAATGAGGGTTTGAGTATCATGCATACAGTACAGTGAAAATGACAGTTAAATTATCATTATAGTTCTCCTTTTGTACAATCTCCTCTGCACTGTTGTAACAGTATATGGTGGGGACTCGAGTCACATGACTTGACTCGAGTCGCATATTTTTTGACTTGAGACTTGCTTGACTAACATTGATAAAAGACTTGACTTGACTTTGACTTGGTATTCATGACTTGAGACTTGACTTAAGCTTGAGATAGATGACTTGAAATTACTTGACTGTTTAAAATTAAATATTTGCGTTTGTTTTTGTATTGAGATATTACGTTTAGTTTTTTCGAAATACGTGATTGGGTGATTATAGTGCCATGCGCGCAAACCTGGCAACCCACTAGAAGGCAGGAGTGTCAGTTAACATGGCAGCGGCTAGCTTTACTCCAAAAATTGTGAAGTTTGGATTCAAGGATTATGTTGTCGATGACGGTAATAAGAAGAGAACAGCGGTAAACTGGGCTTATTCATCAGAATTTTGTATGACTTGACTTGAGCAATGACTTGACTTGACTTGCTTGACTCTCACCACAGTGACTTGGGACTTGCTTGATACTTGTAGGTCAAGACTTGAGACTTGCTCATGACTTGCACATGTAGGACTTACTCCCACCTCTGGTATATGTTATTTGGAGAGCCATAGGAAATGAAAAGGGAAACACTTGAAAAAAAAGCCAATGAAGTATACCCAATGAAAAGTAAGGGTTTGATGCAGGTTCAAAGAAAAGTATTCTCCTTCTCTGGAATATGAATCCAGTTTTTGAAACAACATCGGCTGCGGTGTCTTTTAACTTTCACTTCAGCAATTAAAGGAAACATCAGACATTTTAAAATATGCAAATCTAAAGAAGAGGGAAACTTCAACACCTCAAGGTCTTTCTTTTAAAACAGAGAGGAAGCAATTAGGTTGCGTGTTTTCAGGGGTTTGTTTGGTTTCATTATGCATTAAGTGCTGAAGAGGAAAATGTAAGAGCACATAAGAATATGCCCACGACTATGTTTAACCCTCAACACTAACCTATGCAAATGAAAACACACACACACACACACACACACACACACACACACACACACACACACACACACACACACACACACACACACACACACACACACACACACACACACACACACACACACACACACACACACACACACACACACACACACACACACACACACACACACACACACACACACACACACACACACACACACACACACACACACACACACACACACACACACACACACACACACACACACACACACAGTTACAGCCGCTGCTACCTTGTGCCCTTAACTCTGTTTGTGTGTGTGTGTATGCAAATGAGCTGTGCAGTTCCTATGCTGTCAGTGGCCGTCTCGACCTCGCAACATCCGCGGGGATTGGACAGACGTCACCCAAGCCCTGCCCGCTTCTGCCACGTCATCCGGGGGAGGAGTATAAAGGCTGGGCACGGATACCATTCAGGAGGCTCTGTATTGTGTGACAGACGCCTCAAGCCTCTCCTTGTGATACTGCCTTCGTTCTGTGACTTCTGAGACTGTTTAGCCGTGTGTATTCTGTGTTAGCTACGCTGATTAGCAGTGTATTCAGTAGGGTTTCTGGGCGAGCACACTGATTAGCAGTGTGTCATAGGGTTCTGTGTTAGTATAGGGTTTGTGTGTGTATATTGCTTAGATCCAGGTTGATTAGCACCTGTGGACCCGCACCAGCTGTGTTTTCCCACAGCCCCGTTTTGTTTATTGTTTTGTTTCCACTTTAGAAGTGAGGTATTTCCTTTCCTTTTGTATAGTACTGGGCAACTCTCTTTTAGAGACCCTTTTGTGAGATAGTGACAGCTTGACCCGTTGTTGGGCCAAGCTGTTTGTGTACATCATTTTACTCAGTTGCCGTTACAAATAAACCACCGGTAACATATACCAAATCCAATCTGGTCGTGTCGTTTCCCTTTTGTACCCCTAGCCGAGAGGGAACACACACACACACACACACACACACACACACACACACACCACACACACACACCACACACACACACACACACACACACACACACACACACACACACACACACACACACACACACACACACACACACACACACACACACACACACACACACACACACACACCACACACACACACACACACACACACACACACACACACACACACACACACACACACACACACACACACACACACACACACACACACACACACACACACACACACAGGTGTCTTACGCTGCTAATGCGTTTGTCTTTGATGTGAAGAAGCTGTTGCTGTGCGAGCTGCATATGCAAAAGGTTCTGGAGGACAAGTCCATTACCAAGCAAAGCATTCTGCAAGGCAAAGAAAAACAGACATTATTGTAACAAACACATCAACACACACTAAAATATCCCACACCGACGTTATTGTTATTCTGACCTGGTGTGCTTTTCCCAGTGTGAGCAGAGCAGTGGTGAGAGGGGGTCTGAGGAACGGCAGGTTGGCGTGACGCCCGTATTTCCCTAAAATATAAAAACATCAATCATTGCTCCTCAGTGATTTTCTTTTATACATTTTGGTCTCCACTAATGCATTAATCAATCTGTGTCATCTTAACGGCAGTATATTAGTCAGACACTCAATCCATTTCACTGTCTGTTTTATAACAGGCACAAGTAAAGCAATATTGGGATATTATGTTAGGAGTAAGCAAATTGCCTCCCTCATAACTTTTTCCAAGTTTAAACTTCATTCTGGTGTGTATGATGCAATTGAAAAGAAGCACAAACAAACAACAAAGTAATCAATAGAGAGAAAAGGAGCAGAAAAATCCTGAATTATTTTGTAAGTGTATTGACAGTTTCCTTAAAAAAAAAAGAACAGCCCTGAGCTTCAACATTTCAATGGTTGTTTTTCACAATTTGGGGAATATTGCTCTACAGTTAATCTCTTTATTTTGACTCTTTAAGACTCTTCGTGCATGTTTAACATATTACTATGTTGTGATTCCTACAGTGGCCTAATGTTGATATTCCACTGATGATACGGTTCTTCATCGGATACATTATGCATCGTTTTCCAGTTTGCTACAGTTTAATTTATGTTTGCAAAATTCTTGTTCATGATATTTCACAATTTTCACTCTAATTGAATTTGTCCAATTAAGGTGTTCCAATCCGGTTTATATAGTTTTACTTCTGGGACAACAGCTGGTTTATACCTCTCTTTAAAGTGGGTTTGACTCTGAAGCTGTAGCTTTGATAGAGAAAACCTGACTGCTGAGGAATGTAAACAAATTGTTAGCGCTGTGCATGTTCGTGCATCAAGAATTGTCTTTTCTTCCTAAAACAATCAAGTAATGAATAAACAACAGTTTCATTCTTCTGATGATGCAGATCAAGTCTGGGGGAAGAAGAAGCATCGCCACATCACGCTTTGTTGCAACTGTTTCAGCGAGTGTAGTTCTCTTTGTAATGCTGAATACTTGAGTGGAAAAAAACGTTGAAGAATCATCAGCAGCGGACAGAGAAAAATCTAACCTCTTGTTTACTGAACACCATGGAGTATTTCTGCATTGGCTCATTGATTATAACTAGTGTGGCTTGCTGCGTTTAAGCTGCAGAACATATGTTTATTGAATGGAAAAATGTGTGTACATTGTTAAAAAATTAAGGATGGTGTGCAAATATTCCCACACTTAAAAAACATTTGATCTTTTGTGGATTTATATCAGGCTTCTCTCAGCTTCCGGCAATGCCACCCTGCACCTACACACACACACACACAATACACACTCCCTCTCTTACGCGTTTATGTGATTTCCTTTTCTGAAGTCCTCCTCATGAAAAATGTAAGCATCAATGCTAATTGTAGCTTCTTCCAGACTAGTTGGAGAAAGTTCAACATTTAATCAAGGCCCTAATTTTAGACTTTAATTGCGCGTGCTCTTTTTTAAGAGAGCCTTTCCCATCTTCTCCCCTTCCTGTTCCCATTTGTTCCACTAATGTCACACGATTTCATTTTAATTCCTGATTAGTCATTCATCAAATAATGAAGCCGGCGCAGAGGTGATTACAGTATATGAGAAGGCCTAACACAGGGTCACACTTTTACTGTGGGACTCTGAATATTATCTAAGATGCGAAGAGACTACTTAAACGAACCGGTTCAGGGCAGTGATTTGCTTTAAAATGTAAAAGTTTTCAATCAGCATACATGCTTATTTGATTAAGTATCAGGTTAAATTAAAGGTTTGAGTTGCACCATAAGGGAGTGTGTCTAGCTGTAGGATCAGACTTCCGCAGCATACGTGATTTCATAGCCTCTTCATCATTTTCTACACTGTAAAGTAATTTACTATACCATTTGGCGGCCAAGTTTTCAATCTTCCAGGCTCAAATGTAGCATGGAGGTCAAGTGAATGATTGTGAAGGTGTGTGGCACTTAGAGTTCCTACAACAAAAAGGCATAGAACTTGAAAACAAATTCACATACTATGGCTAAATTCATTTTTCGGAGGCATTGTTGCATTGTTCCTTTCATTGTTGTAATTTCGCGCTGCTTACTACACATAAGCCAATGTTATTCTGATTATATTATATTTTGAAACATCAAATTGCTTAGGTCATTGCTTTAGTGTTAATATAGACCTGCGTTTTATCATCATTTTGTGAGTGTGTTGAGAGTCTTGCAGGAACATGATGCAGAATGGCCCTCAACTTCCACCTTTTTATTGCATTATTTGCTTACATTCACACCACTGTCATTCCATTGTACAGTTTATTGTAGTTTTAGTGCACTTCTATCTATTCAGCTCTTCATAAAGTATGTCAGGGCTAGCTAGCACAAGGTTGCTGCACACTAATAGCCCAAGGTGTTGAACAACATTGTCTGATGAAGGTCATTATTTTAATTCAGTGGGCTAAAAGAAACTATGAAAACAAAAATGGCTATATTATAAATTCAGACTTTGTAAAAATAATGTATGTACATCAGAAAGTATTGGGTATTCATCATAAGACCTATATCTAGGCAAACCTGACACAACAGATGTTTTTTTAAAGAGAATCTGACAAGCTGTCATTCGAGTGTTTGAAAAAGTACAGACAATGTAAAAAAAATACTTGGTAGGTGATAGGATAAACCGCCTGTCTATCACTGTCAATCACAGTCTAACTAACACACATCTTAATCATACCCGCATCTTCCTCAATCCTGAGATTATGGATTGTTGTGTGATGTCATGATAATTGCTAGAATCAAACCGTTGTGCAGTTATCACATACCTCCTCTTTTCCCGGTGTGGTACGGCCTCATGAGGATCTGCAGGGCAGCGGGGTTCGTCATGCTGGTCAACAGCTGAGCTATGTTGGGTTCTGGTAGCAAACCTTTCCTGTTACTCAGAATCTGGAAAACAAAACAAAATACACACATAAGAGAAAAAGAGACTGTGTGGTGAACAGTACGTTTGGATCTTATTATTAGGAGTCCCTGATGGCTGTAGTAATCATTACACTAGTTTACATCAGCAGGATATGTCTGCGATGTCAGCAGAGGGGAAACAATCTGGGAGACAAAAATAAAGGAGACAGAGCTGTGTGGGAAACAGCATGGGGGGGGGGGAGACGGGAAACAACAAGGTGTGGTAAACAAAGCAGAAGAAGAAGAAGAAGAAGAAGGAGAAGAAGAATTGAGAGTAAACAAGTAAAGGCCACATTTCAAATACTAATTTATTATTTCTCTGCCAAATCGATGTCTACATCATGTTCAGAAAACACCTTGAGACTTTTTTCTGTAAGCGTGGCAATCTACCACAATCTAGCTGAGGTGTGAAAATAGAAATCACTTTGAGGAAATGCACAATCAAGACAATAATATATCTTCCGTTCAGTGTACAGTGTGCAGAACTATCAGTACTACTGTGTTTTGGTAATCTTGCTAACAAGGGGAAAGGCAACCCCCTCCTTACATTGCCTAATGGTTGTAGTATTGCGAGTACTTTTAAATGTAAAGTTACAGTCTTTAATGCATTTTTTTAAAAAGATGATTCTTGTGCATTTGTCATCTTTATAGGATAGCTGCTAGGACAGAGACAGACAGTGAGTGGAATTAGTGGTGGGAGGTCTATAATGTCAAGGAGGTTAATGTCTTTAAAAATGTACCCTAAGTATGTTAGAAAGGTGTCTGTACTAGCTACTTGTTTTGAGTTGCTTGGACTTTAGTGACTTACTTTGTGCATCACATGTTGTAGCTAAATGAGTGTTTTTAAATGCCATTTTATAATATGTTTCTTAATGCTCTTAATGTCTTTCATTTTTGTAAAGCACTTTGAATTGCCTTGTGTTGAAAGGTGCTATATAAATAAACTTGCCTTGCCTTAGCTAGCTCCATCGTGTATCTGATGTTGTTTCTTATCACACATGTGTGTTTTCCCTGTTGATAATATAGCTTACACTTCATTTGAAATAACCTGCATTTCCAGGAACTGAAAGGACCTCAGCATTTAAATCGAAATAAATACTGTAAGGCGCGTCCTCAAATAAATGAAATCACTCATTATTACGCTGCAAAATGTAATTCAACAGACTCAAATGAAATCCTATTGGATTAGACTGCATCAAATTGAATGTAGCAGCCCTTCTAGATCCTCTTCAGCCCTGATAGTGCGGCGGCAGAACTCGCTGTCTGGCCCAAAGACACGGCTATTTAAAACAACATTAGCAGGATGGTGATATTTCCTCCTCGTCTGCCCTCGAGCTACAGCAAGACTTCAGCTCAAGTCAACCTTGTTTCCTCCCTGTCACATCCTGAAGAGAGAGCATTACTGACGGGGACGGAGCGGGTCTGACTCACTGTCAGCAATTGGGGAAGAGACTAGTGCAAACATACAGTATGTGTATTTGTGTGTTACAGCAGAGACATTGGCGTGTGTGTGTGCGTCGAACAAGGCCAGTTGTAGCTGACAGCGTCTTTCAAGGGAAGATAGAGAGAGGAAGGAGAGTAGGAGCACTCTCCCATTTATTTTTTCTTTGCTGGAGAAAATGTCAGCGTGCATCAGTCTGTTTAGCTGCTGGCACAAAACCCAGCGACACACCCACACACACAAGCCAGGGAGGTATGGGAGCCGCGAAGAAGAGAAGGCGAGAAATGTCGCGTAAGGAGAGGGATGGAGGGAGAAGAAAGAGGAGGGAGGAAAGGCCATCTGGTCCTCAGCATTCACACTCGCATTCACTGACTGGAAAATCGCCTCAGAGGAGAACTGTAGCCAGGAGTAGGTCTTGACCTCTTTCTGAAGGTCTGATGTTTCCTTTACCAGCTGCTCACATTCACTGCAATAATCCTATAAGGAGCCTGAGGGTACGAATGTAACCTTGCAGTCCTCTCAAACCTATTCTGTCTCTCTTTCTCAACCAATCCTTTCGTCTCTGAATGTCTCTTTCCCTCTTCAAATCAGCCTTGTTTTCCTCTGCTTATACAATATTTCATTATTATCTTTGTTGCAATTGCACTCTGTGACCGCTACCTTCTCTGCTTTTCAACACATTCATCTCAAGGGCACAACCTATTTAAGCGGCGACTTATAATTCTTGCTCTGCAACAGTCAGGGATAAAATCACAGAGAATACTACATGTTGTGGTAGTGTAGCAATTTGAGATTAAGAATTAATTAGTGTTGCACGGTGTACCGATACTTGAAAGGTACCGCGATGAAAACGTTACGATTCCTCCGTTTCATTAGTATCGGTACTTTAAGAATGACGGGGAAAAGTACTCTGGTGAGAAAGCGCTGTTTTAATAAGAGCCGTGTGTATTCAGCGCTCTGCTTCCACTCCCTGCACTGCAGCCGTGCCTGCCAGAGCACGTGAGAAAACGAGAAGTATGGTTGCAAGTGGGAGTGCAACTGCCGCTGCGCCTCGGCTTGTTGACAAAAAAGACGCCAGAAGCGAAATTTGGAAGTATTTGAGCTATATCTCTGACAGTGAGGGCAAGCCTACGGACACCACGAGGCCTGTCTGTGAGAAATGTTTTAGATCCCTGCAAACCAAGCGAGCCAACACATCAAACTTGGCTAAGCACCTCGCCGACCGGCATCCAGAGCTGTTGTAGAATGTAAAGACAGACAGGTTAGCGAATGTGATTGATAACATAATTACATCATGCTCAAGCCCATGCCCTAAGTCAAACCAGTGTAATTTATTTTGTGACAATTTCGTAGTTTGCCGAGGCAATTAATGGCAATGATAACTGTCTACTATGGCTATCTTTTTAGCTAACTTACCGATGTGGTTCTGGTGTGAAATAAAGCACAACATTTTTTTTTTTAAAGTATCGAAAAAGAATCGGAATCGGTATCGAAACCAAAATGTTGGTATCGTGACAACACTAGAATGAATACATTTTCGCACACTGGTTCGAACCACTGTGTCAAATTTATCGTCAGCTGTTTGGGTCTTTTAAAGCAACAAATTATGACTTCTAATGGTAGCCCTCTATAGGTTGAATAAGTGTAATATTACATGTTATCCCCACATGAGAGTAAAGCAGCAAGCTCTATTGGCCCTAGACAGTATGTAACCCATAATAAAACATAAAGCTGGATTTCATGTGAAAAGGTAATTTGTGCCTATAGCAGGCTTGGAATTTCGTCATTTTAGGGGCAAGGCCATTTGGCCTTTGGTGTCACACATTTTTTCAGGGCGCAAAGGCCACATGCCAGGGCACAAAGGCCATTGAGGGAAACATTTGGATTTGGAGCTTACAAATAAATAACTTTACTTTTTGATAAGAAAAACACACGAATGACATGGAAAACAAATCACTTTTTCTCGATGACAAAGGTCAGCCGCAAGCATGGTCGCCGCGTCTTTATTACGTCATCACAACAACACGTTAGGTTACCAACGTAAGCCTGTTCTGACATTCGGTGATATTTTGAAAGCCGAAAGGGCCTTTTTAACCATTTTCGGCCGATAATTTTCGGTGGCCGAATATTCGGTGCATCCCTACTTTTTAATATCAATAATGTCAAACATTATATAATCCTATAGGCCTATGCCTCCTTAGTATTACCGTATATAAAATAAAATACTCTACTTTGAATAATTAGTGTTTGGTATGTTTACCATATACTACTTCTCCCATTCACAAATCAAAAATCAAATAAAAAAATCTAAAATTCTATTAATATGTAACAAATATATTCCATTTCAGAGCAGAAGAAACAGCCTTCAAGGGTCAAACTCTGCACATACATCATTCAGCAGTGCACAGTGAAGTGTGTGTGTGTGTGTGTGTGTGTGTGTGTGTGTGTGTATGTGTATAGTCTCTTTAATCAACTCCTCACAGCTCTGTTCAGAAACTGAATACAATCGCTGCTTTAATTCTGTCTTTAGGACGTTGTTGTGAGTGTGGACGGAGCGGCTGCAGGTTAGTTTAGCCTGATTGATCCATTCAGAAAACACGCATTTTTTAACAGATTTTTCGCTTGCCGTCTTGTCTGCAGACTTGTCAAAGCATTAATTCATGTTTTTTACTAACCGGTATCAGTATGTAATTACTTCAGCTTCCTTTTGAAACGTGTATTACAATTAAATCACTGTAAAATAGGTTAATTTTGTCGTAGTTGGTTTCCACCACAGTATTTACATGGAAATAAGCCCCGCCACCTCTCCAGCGCGTTCTGTTTGAATGACAGGAGTAAACACAGCTGACAGCCGAGGTGAAACTCCAGCGGTTAGAGCGATGAGAATATTCGCATGCCATCGCGTCCGTTGTGAACGCAGCATAATGCAGTTCAGAAAACACTGTTCTGTCGCTTTTAAAGCAACTTCGAGATTTTAACAGTGTGAGGGACCCAAAGACAATGGTGGCCGTAGGACGTACAATTATTTGTGGGGCATAACGGCCAGACAGAGGGGCTACGACGGCCATGGCCGTCATGGCCGCCGTGAAAATCCTACCCTGGCCTATAGACTCAATGTGTGAAACCTGATCAAATTACCTTTAGATGGTGAATGAGTGCCATTATTCATTTTGATCATGATATTTTACTGGACTCCATGTAAAGATGAAAGAAAATAGGAAAATGGATTGTAATGATATCATAATGCATTTACTGATAAAACACAGTGACAACAAGACCCTGCTTTCACAATGTTTTCACATATTTTACCCTCAAGAATATTTAATCTAAATATTTGTTTTAATCGTTTTTTTATATTGAGTTTATACAAATGACTTGGCGAACAGTTTTTTATATCATGTACCACCTACCAAGACATCTAGCATTTACCATTTATCACACTCATCTGCAATTGATTTTGATTGCAAAAAGGTGAAATGTTTGCTTTAATCAAAATGCTGTACCTGTAAGTACACAGCTCCAGTTAAATCCATGTACTCATGAAGAGTAACACCTACAGATCATTTTCCAGAACTGATCACTTGTATTTACATCCTGTGCAATTTTGCTGCATTTATTTCAATGACTGTGTGTTTGAGTGTCAAACTGTGCCGAGACTTGTTGTATTTTAGGCAGCAGGAGACGGTGGAAGAGCCCAATCAGTCTATAGAACTATAATTATCACGTCAGTGCCTCTCTGCTGCCACAGAACAGCGTAGGAGGGATACAAAAGTTACAAAAATGATTTCAGCCAGACCTTACATGTGTACCAGAGGTTTAACAGATAAGTCAGCTAGTCAGCCTGTAGTCAGCTAATATGCTTTTACTTCAGGCGAACAATATCTCCAGCTCACACAAGCCTGCGTGGTTCTGTCCAATCTGATCCTGGCTCATCTGTAAACGCCCTCTAAGAGCTAAGAGGGTCTTTTCCTTTAATGGTTTTATTACAGGCCTTTTGATGAGTGTCGATCGCTGTTATTTGGTGAAAAGAATATGATATCTCAATTAGTCAACTATACTTTTTGTGACTGGTTAATGACCACTACAATCTTCACTGATTAGATCAGGATACTGTATATGGATATCTTATATTTATAAATCCGAACGATGTATGTGTAAAAACCAGTTGGCGCTAGATCACAATCAGCATGTCTTCTTATTTCCATCAATCAATCTAAGGCTAGTAAAAAGCAAATTACTAGGAACTTTTAAAAAAGTGAAGAGATATTTTGTCTGCTCATATGCCTGAAAAATCCAATGTTTTGGTGATAAAGAGTATTGAGGGAAATGTTTCTATGGAGGAAATCAATGTTTTCCAAAATAAAATAAAAAGCTCAGTGCATCAATACTCACCATACCCTGGGCGGCGATGAGTGCAGCCAGGGTGCTTCTCCCTGTGGTGCCGGGGCTGCAGAGGGACAGCCGGACCTCCTGTCCTCCCACCAGAGTTCGGTCCATCTCTATCAGCACGGCCTCCGCCTGCTCCGCGCTCTCGTACTCCACCACACCGAAGCCTCGGACGGGGCTGCCCTCATCCTGAGCGAGCTGCAAGATATACAAAACATTGTACTAGATCAGGGCTTTTGACAAGTCTGCAGACAAGACGGCAGAAATCTTAACTCATTATAATAATTTTGTATTGACTCAACCTCTCACACTCACATTCAGTATCCACACAATGTGCTGTAGTAATTATCTGCTTTGGGGAAACAAAAAAAGGTCCCTAATTGATTTTTTTATTTAACCAATAAGATTATGAATACTTATGCAGCAACTATGAACCAAGAAAACTTTAATTAAACATACAGTAGACTGCTTTTTTTTTTACCTCTGCGAAATCTGCAGTGTGATTGTTTTCATTAGTTTTACCAATATGTTTCCTCTCCTCTGACTTATGGGTTTTAATAAGCCAACCATCTCTGTGATATCTTGTCTGCTTTGCTTTTAGTTACCTCCCATAGGCCAAGAACATGCAAGTGATCTAGGGTAATCTGCACTTGGGTGAATGTAAATGTGTTTATGTGTGCTGTGACAAACTGCCCAATGTGACTCTGAATAAGCAGGAACAGAAAATGGATGAATATATGATCGGAAGTGCCTCACTGGAGATGTTCATTTTCAGGAACAAGTGAGCCAAATGAAACCTTTCATCACTGTAGATGCATACAGCAATGCCAAGGAATGGTGTCATCTTTGGTGCCAGCATTAAAGAAACAAAAACTGTGCCAAAACACAACATGAACCACTCAAGCCACTGTAAATCTGCCTCTTCTCTAATGGATTTCCTCTTGTATCATTGTTTAATCTTGACAAAAGACTTCACTTCTGATTAACCGACACTAAAACCTAATATCTACCGCCCATTGTGTCCTTTCAAACTTCATCAGTCATCTGAAAGAATACAAAAAAAGCATTTTTGTTAAGAGCTGTTTTAATAAAGTGAGGGTTTTATGGTTGGGTATCTCTTCATTATGCAAAATCAAAATGAACTCAGAGATAATTCTTATAAACTAATGTAAGCTGCATGCTGCTCAAAAGAAGCCCTCCTTTTTCCTGACCAAAAAAGGTAGAATGCCTGGAAACAAGTACATGACCCCATTTAGGGATCGTCAGACTATTAATCCAGAACAATCTCTGCCAGAGTAGGCTATCTCTGAAGCTGAGGTTACCATGGTGATGTAAAAGTGTGTCAGCAGCGTGAGACTGCAAAACAAGCCACAAGTCCATTGTTGCTAGCTCATGCTAAATCACTGTTTAGACATTAGGCGAATATATGCATTACATAGTTCATACAAACACACCAACAAGGACTTACAAAATGTACAGAGTTCAACTCTTTGTGTGTGTGTGTGTGTGTATATAATGTGAAGCTTTTGTCACCGTACATGTCTGCTGGGATTGTTAGCTTAAGGCTGGTTCGAGCTGATTTTCTTATTGTGCTCTGGAGGCCATTTGTCACAGCGATATTGGATTTATATTAAGTGTGATTGTGTGCATTTGCACATTTACTGTGTGTTCGAGCAGCTTTAAATGATGTGTGCTTTTATGTCTGTGTATGTTCCTTTTATGTTTGTCTTTGTGGTAACATATTTTTGTTTATTAAACCCTGGAGTGAGTGAAATATTGGTAGTGCGGAGCAAAGTGCTGGGCAAATACAGTTCAACGGTTTTGTGTGTGTGTGTGTGTGTGTGTGTGTGCGTGCGTGCGTGTGTGTGTGCAAGTAATGACAGATAACTGTGTTGTGGTGGGGGGGAAAAAGCTTGTCTCAGCTCCTTTTGTCAAAAAAGTCGGGAAAGACAAAAAAAATGAAAAGGCATGATGTAAGAGTTACATCCTTGTCTTGCTTTTCCCAAAATGCTTCAGGGACCACACACTTTACAAGGTTCTATATGTTTGTTAAAGCAGCAAATGATTATAAAATGCTGCTACCCCTGTAATGGCCACATTTTGAGAACAACATGGAAAGTTAATGGGAAAAGTTACCATAGTTGCCTTATGGTTACTTAAGGTCAATACAACACATCCCTCAGGGCACTAAAGACTGCTGACCAGTAACATTTCTCCCGAACACGATAGACTTTTCTGTCAAGAAGGTTCAGTCATTGCCAGTGTGTGTGGAGCAGCTAAATAATGCAGGCAGGCTAATAGCTAATATCAAATGGATGATGGTGGATAATGACAAAAACTAAGAGCTAATGGCTTATGGTCAAAAAAGCACACCACTTGACCCACTGCTGGTAGTGGCCAAATTCTATTAAAATGCTGAGCAAATTGATTAATCTTACCTTTCAAATTATATATCCACTTTTGAGTCTGTTTAAGCATTTATTTATACCTATATATGTTTTTTTGTAAATTACCATTGAAGTAAATTATGACTTATGACTTATTCAGAGGATATGTAGATAGGTAACTTGGCCAATCTAATTATTTTTTTTCGCATTCAAATATCATTTTGCTGCCGTAATGTTTATAAGTCTCTTCCCTCACTGTATATTCCATGTGGATAATTTATAAATATAGCATACAACTAGCAATAATACTAGCATATTTTATTATTGCTATTATCAGTATAGATAGTATAAATGTGGCTTTTTTTATGTTGTAGAAGATATACATACATAAATATTACATTGCATTTTTTGACCAACCAAGTCAATAATATTCAATTTATAACCATAGAAAGCAGAGAACACCATCACATATTCACATCTGAATAACTAGTAGGCTACCACTGATTTTTAAGTTAAGTAACATTATCATTTACAAAATAGGCCCACTCAAGTTTCAGAGAATTTGTGATTGCAATTAAACTTCCTTGCAATACAATCATATCAATGATTTTAATGTAAAAATGGACATGTTACAAATCAGCGGGAAACAAAGTTATTTTTCTACGAATGCTGATGACTGTTACCATCAGCACTCACTCAAGTGGCCCTCCACTCCTCGCCCCCACCCCTCCTCTCATTGGTCTGCAGCTCCCTCCGGTCTGAACAGAGGATGGATGGAGGGAGGGAAATGTATGTATGTGTGGAGGAGTGGGTCGATAGGCTATTATCATCAGCATACATTAAGCAAACTATGGAAATAACATGAACCACTCTACCACTTGAGATCGACGGATGGATGGAGGAGGGAGAGAGCGTGGGAGTGAGGAAAAAAAGGAGTAAATGAGGAAAAAACAAGAGTGATTGATTATGTGACTGACGAGTGAAGAAAGTGGGTAAACTGTGAGTTTTACAGTATCAAACTGGATTGTGTGCAAATGGTATCATCAACATATGTGCATGTGTGAATAATGGTGTGAAGACTGAGTGAGGCTCTCTCTTTTTCTCCAACTGCACTCACACTAAATAATATATTCAATCATTACTAAGATCTGCACAAACAATTATGCTAATCATATTTGTACTGTAGCCTTCTATATACAGCTGCCTTTTGTTCTCTCTTTGTGTGTATTTGTATCCTCTTACAATTCAAATAAATGCATTTGTTCTGCTTGTCTTTGTCAGGGCAAAGATAGTGCTGTGTTGTTATAATGAAACACTTTTTCCAATGGCACTTCTTTAACATCAGACATCTTTCACTTTTCTTGTAATGTCTGGCAGTTTTCCTCAAGGTATGATTTAGAAAAGAGTAATCATTGTTAACTTGGTACTTCATCACTTATCTTGTAAATTATCCTTGATGTAAATCTAAAGAAGATTGGCCCAGGGGAAATTCCTGCAAAGTGTAATTAACCTTCATCAGTCTAATTAACAGAATGAAGATTTTTATTTCATTACATTTCCTGTCATGATGCATATACAGATCATCTAAACCAGAGTCCTGCACAGGTTTCAGACCTGTAGCCTGTTACCCTTAAAACAATTCATCTGAACCCAACCTGACCCATTTGAAGTCCTGGGACCCCAACCATGATTACAGTGATTACAAATGATTATGCTTCTTCATATTATCTGATTTATGCTGCTTTTAAATAGCCAACTGTACTTAAGTGTATGCATTTTATAGGGGAGCAGGAGGGTGCAGTGCATGCAAAGTTACATATGCAGGTTGTTGCTGATGTTGTATTTAATTGTATCATACTCTTTTGACGGTTAAAGAAACATTACTTTGCCATCCTGAATTTTGACAACATAATCACAAAGCTCTGCCAAATGAGTCAAGTCAAAGTGCAGTAGCACTTGAATTATAATAATTAAAAGTAGATGACAGACCCATTTTCTCCTTGTACAGTATAATAGCATGTCCCAGAAACATAAACTCCTAAACCCATCGTTTCTGGCGGTTTGCAGTCAGAAAAACCTGAATACTGTAACAAGACATGCAGATTTGTTGTCTCAAATCTTGTTTTATGTTGCTGTAGTTAATGCAGAAGCGAGGTCCATTACAGAAAACATTTGTAATGATTATAAAACTACGTAAGGACCAAACTCTAAAATCTGATCTAATCAGTGAAGATTCAAACAGACACAGAAGTTACGATGGTAGGTCCCACAGTTAAATACCTAAATCAGTCACTTGATTGGTTGGGGCCAACTGTATGTGTTTCTGCATCCAAACACACAGTGTTATTATTATATTATTATGCTATTATAAGAGATCATTGTCTGAGATACCTTAGTATATTGCAAGTATATTGGTTTAAAGAAAATACAAGTGAGGACATTTCACTAAAGTGAAAAATGCCAACAAGATTTGGATGAATAAAGAATAAAAAATACTGCAGGCGGTTTTGCAGGTATTGACGGTTCCAAGGATAAAGAAATATAAAAATATAGATAAACTGTATTTTCCTGAATGCATATATACAGTAAGTCTGTCTGTGGGAGCTATCAGTGTGTGTGACAGCTCTTGACCTCAAGTCGGTCCACAGCCAAGAGATGCTGACTGAGGCCCCGACAGGGCTAAGTGTGTGTGTGTGTGTGTGTGTGTCTGAGTGAGTGAGTTTAAACTGCTACATCAGCTGTCTGAATTGGGTGATAAGGTCATGACAGCCCTGTCACAGCTGTCTGTGAAGTCAGGTACATGATCTGTCACAGTGAAGAGTTTAACTGTAAAGATTATGATAAAGAGAACGAGTGAAGCAGAGTATGTGTGTGAACATGGGACAAACTGAGTGGGAGACCATCATTTAATACAATTATAATTTAGAAGTGGAAGACTAGATCAAATAATTAAGAAATAATAAGTATTAAGATTGGTGATCTCACATAAAAACACTTCTACTAAATTGAAGTTGAAATACACCAAATAACAAAGGTTTGTTTAGGGTTTTTCATTATTTGTATGCGGCGTAAGAGGTGATTAAACCAAGTTCCACCAAGAGGAACAATAATTGTGTCAAGCATTTCAAGATTGGACTTGAAAATACTTTAATTAGATGTGAAATGATGAGTGCTAATGATTATGATGAACATGTTTTTCTTCGTAATAAAAACTAATTATTGTTGCTTCAAACAATGCAACCGCAAAATATGGTTTATTACATATACTGGGTTCCCCCACTACAGCAGCTTTGGTTCATTTGCCAACAGTGATACTTGTTGGCTGTTTATCAATCATTTAATTCTGTATATCCATCCATTCATTCCTATTTTATGATTTGTTTTTCTCGTTTTTGTCATAGTCCTCCTATATAAACATGTATCCAGAATTATCTCTGATTTATCTTCAATTCATGCAAAAATATATTATGTTTCACTTTGTGTTGAGGAAAATATTTTTGATTTAGTTGATATCTTTGACTTTCAGCTAATGTAATGCTTTATGACTGTGCTCGTCAACGTTAACATAAGACATGATACATTTTTCGTTGCAGCAGTATAAAACAAACAAGGCATTGCACCTAATTAGAAATTAAAAGAGTAGAAATAAACAATTATAAAATACAAACATCTCAAAATAGAAATAAACCGGTATTAGAGAGTAGAAAATATACAGTTGACCATGAAGATAAAACATCTATAAACTATCTGACAAATAAAACACTATTAAATGGCCAATTTTCAGTTAACACAATAAAGCAGTATATTATTAAGCCCTGAGCCTGTTTCTCAGGTCTCAGGCTCGAAAATGACATTCCCAGAACAAATGACCATAACTTCACTTCTAAAAGGGATACATTAATAATCTTTTTTCTCAAAGCAATGATAAACCTGTGAGTTGGATGTAGAATTGTCAGAATCAATATAGATGTTTTTATTAACACATTCTAGCAAGTTCTGTTAAATAGCTGTCACATCTTTAAAACCTATGGCTCACCTGATTTAAGTCTGATTTTAATACATAGCGTGCATTGCCACTTCTTGTGGCCAAGATAGTTATAACAACAGCAATCACCTATTTGTTAAACGATTCTGAAAACAATTATTCACTAGCCAAACCTTATTAATACAAAATAAAAAACGTATTCTCCAATCTGATTCATTTTTTTTAAAGAAAATAAAGGAATTTAGAAAGATTATTCAAGCATCACTTTTTGCAACCTGTTCTTAACTCAGTAACACATAAGGGAAAACAAATTAGGTCTGATTAAAAAAATGGATAATCAGAACATTTTCCAACTTGCCTTCTAGTTGCACAAACATTAGTCTATGACTGACACATTTGGTTCTTTTAGTCTCCCAGTTAATATGAGTTTTAGCTTTTCAATCAATCAATCAATCAATCAATCAATCAATCAATCAATGTTTATTTATATAGCCCAATATCACAAATGTTACATTTGTCTCAGTGGACTTCACAGTTTGTACAAAATATCAGTATGACAATACGACACCCTCTGTCCTTAGACCCTCACATCGTACAAGGAAAAACTTTCGGAGAAAACCCACAGTTTAAAGGGAAAAATGGGAGAAACCTCAGGGAGAGCAACAGAGGAGGGATCCCTCTCCCAGGACGGACAGACGTGCAATAGATGCCGTGTGAACTTTTATGATTACATTTGAAAAATATGCCAACAGACTTGCCCCGGTGACTGACAGTCTACCTCTCTTAACATTTCACTTCAGCTGTCCGTCTGCCTCCGTCCCCTTGCCTGACACTGTCAGCACTCACCTCCATCACTCCAACCTCTTTCTAATAGACCTGGCAATCTCAGTACCGTCCCCCCTCCTTTCCATCCGTCCTTATTGTCTCCATCCTGCCGTCCTTCCCTCGTATATAGTTGACCTAACCTTCTCCTCCCTCTACCTCTCCTGGATGACTTAAAGAGCCTGTGACAGCATCCCAACAACTGTTGTGTAATGAAATATTGGGCTACTACTCATCTCGAACCGTCAGTTTTAAAAAGAAGGTGCGATACCGTTCCGATAAATATCAATAATTTCGAACATCGCGGGGAAATTCCTTCGACTCATTTTGAAGTTTTGGGGGAAGCCGGAAGTGACGTCAATGCGGGAACGCTTCACTGTGCGGCGAGAGAACCAAACACGGACAAAGTGTGTTGTCATGCGTAGAAATGGTGAATTACTGAGTTTAGGCACGTTAATAACGTTGTAATGAAGTTGACTACAGTATATTCATATTTGTCAGTGCTTTCATGTCAATTCGGCGAACATAAACATAAATGATCGTGGTGAAGATGATGATTACATTAGGATTAAAAATCGGTAGTGAGAGCTGCTGAATTTCCTCCGGTCGGATGTGATATAAAAACAAATCGATTATTTTTGTAGTTGTAAACTCAAGTGGATGAAACTACATTTATTAGTGCTTTCATGTCAATTCGGCGAACATATGATAGATTAAATGATCGTGAGGATGATGATTAAAAATCGTTTGTTTGAGCCTGTCTGCATTTCCTGATGAGAAAACAAACCGATGCTTTTTGTAGTTGTAGTACACCAACATGGATTAAACGTGTGTTTTTTTTTTACCACAATGTTGGGGAACTTAATGGATAAAATGCACGGATTATTATTATTATTATTCCCACTCCGATCGGGACACTAGGTCCACCGTTTCCCCGCAGCGAGGCTCCCCCCGTTGACAGTTTACGTGGGCTGGGTGCAGTGGCGGACTGGCCATCGGGACGAATCCCGATGGGCCGGTACCGAAGTGGGCCGGTCGGATAAGTCACTAGCACGTCATCCCCCACTCCCCCCGTTGACAATTTACTAGCGGTACCGAAGTGGGCCGGTCGAGAGTCCCGGGATGATTTTTAGTCCCATTCCACCACTGGCTACATGACCGTATGATCGCCCATATTGACGCACCTAATTCCTAAACTTCTAACAGATACAACATAAACCGATCCTTCAGCCTCATATGAGCTCTCAGACACGTTCAACATTAAACTGTCATCGCTGTCTGAGCTTGCTGCTGTGTGCGCCATTGTGCGTTTACATGCAGATGCTGGGATCCTGAACGGTGCAGCTGGAGCGCTGTGCCCGCAATGACGTCATACATAATTTGGCGGGACTTGAAGAATCCCCGAGAAGATCCAGAAAATGGTCAACATTGAAGGGCAGATTAATGGTTATCAAAGTACAAATATCCAAAATCAGTGCAGTAACGGTTTTCAAGGGGACAATATTTACTCAAATTGAAGGGTTTGGATGATGGGGGAAACTCGTGTCACAGGCTCTTTAAGCCAAATTGCCGCTTGGAGGGCCCTTTTGTGGGTAGCAGAATTATAGTGCTCAGGGCCAAGGCCACAAGTTAAGTGCACTCTGCACCAAGGAAAGGTAACAAGAGGACTGAGCTTTACATATGTGAACAGAGGAGACAGAAGGTTTATGTAAGACAGACTGCAGCTCACGGCAGTAAGATGAAGCTTTGATTTACAACAAGGACAGCAAACAAGTAAACATCATATATTTAATAGGTTTGCATGTCAACAATTCATTGAATGTTGCGATTACATGAACAGCACCTTTGGGAGGAATGCCCAAATAGATCAATTATTATGATCTAAAATGGTCAGACTACACTAACAAGAGCTAGGTGTGCCCCATTAAGCACAGCTGGAGTTACGCTTTTCACTCAATGCTTGTGTTTTCTTGCACTGAATTCAAGTGTATCCTCATTTAGTATTACACCTGATATCTGACAAACTTGGGCATACTGTGCTTCAATTGAATGCACAGTATGTCAAAATAGTTAAAATGGCTTTGCAATACTCTCCCACACAGGCGGGTTAGTAAAATAAACGTTTGAATGCTACCATCTTTGTTTTCATTTCCCTGTATATGTTGTTTCTGCTTCCTTTTCATTGGTTTACAGGGTTTCAAGAGCTTTGTGCCTGAAGTATTTATAGTGCATAGATGCAGTGCAGTCACACACACAAGCACATACTGTACTGTACATGAAACACGCTGAACCATAGGTCAAAGCCTGCTGGCACTGCAACAGTGAAGCAACATGAGCTAAACACCCACAAAGCATCATGGGAGCAGGACGATGTGGGTGTATTGATTTCTGTGTGGGAGAGGGGCAGAGGGGTGGAGCTAAAACTGGAAATGCAGCGATGAGTGATACACATTGAGTAATGTCTAAATGGCAATGTGGGAGTGGATGTGATGGGGCAGGGTGGTGTATAACAGCAGCCACACCTCACCATGGAAACAGTTGCCTGGTGATAATGTGAGAATGGCCAATAGTGATGCTGCTCCCTGGATCAGCACCTCCCACCTGGAAGTGTTCAATTGATAAACATGTTCGGGGTAGGAGGTAACAATTTCAATGTGAGAGCGTTAGCCATTTTACTGTGATTCTCATTGGAGCTTGTGCGATAGAATCAAGGAAAACATATTTTCTTTTGGAGCTTCTGCTTAGAAAATAAAAAGCAGAATATGGCAACCTTTATCTCAAATCTTGGTTTCACAGCAGAGGCACGCTCAATGAGCCATACTCTCTTGGATATATCATTTTGCAGATGTGTTTTGCGCATACAAGTTGTGAATCTGTATAATTTTTATTTTACATGAAATTCTGAGAATAAATTACTATCTGGACAATGTAAATGTGTAATTGAAAGAGCTACATAATCTAAATGTGTTGATCTATCACACACAAATAAGTACAGACACTCACTTGACAGAAGACAGGTTTGTATGTTTTTGAGAAGAGCTGGGTGAGTTCCTCAGAGTCACACAGGTCCAGCGGCAGCCGGTTGATACACAGACACCTGGAGTGGAGGTTCTCCTCTTGGCCCAGCTGGTTGACGTCCATCCACTGCACCATCAATGAGCGATCCTCCTGCACCATCAGAGAGCAGCATTACATTTTGCTAAGACCCTAAAGTACCTTCACACTCCCACACTGTACTCACTGTAAATTCGGCATCCATTGTAACAAATATTAATTCATATTTTGGTACTTTTTTGTATACTGCCATCCTCTCTTCCTTTACAGAGCTGATATAAAGGTTGTCAGCCGTTGAGATGAAAACTTCCATCTAGAATGTTTTTTTAACTTTCCTGATCACACAAGCAAGGTCAGTCTTCATTAACGATACAATGAACTGCTCTTATTTATGAATATAGAGATGTTTTTCGATCAGCATTTCTCGACACAGACCATTTTTGTGTTCAACTTTCATGAAGTTATCACTTCGATAATAAGGTAAGGTTAAAAATATAAACATAGGCTATAATGTAATCAATCAAAGTACAATTTGCCATGTATTGACACAGAAAACTGAAATTCCTCTTGTACCCGTCAGAAAGCATCCAAAGCAACAGGATGCCTTCATTACACATTTTTTCAGTCTTATATAAAAAATAACAACAACATCAAACATGAAGTGCTTATTTTAACAACCAACTTTAACGTACTATTGGTCGGCCCAGCAGCTCCGAGCGGGCCCGTGAAGCGGAATCCTTCTTCATGTATTCAACAAACCCATATCCTTTGGAGTGGCCCGTCAGAAGGCTGTACACCAGGAAGGAGCGCTCAATGTTCCCATAGGCGCGCACCATCTCCTCCAGCTGCTGGGCGGTGAAGGTGTGGGGCAGGTTGGTGAGGCAGAGCATGGAGTCGGTGGGCTGCAGCGTGACATTGATCAGACGCCCCCGGACAGTGCTGTGGTGGAGGGAGCGGATGGCATCCTGAGCCTGGCCCCCGTTCAGCAAAGTCACAAAGGCTGGAGGAGGGGACATTATGGAGACAGGGACGAGGCGAAAAGACAGACAAAGACCAGGATGCACACATAGAATGACATACACAGACATGTGGACAGGGACATGTGAGAGACAAGCACAACACAAACATACATTTAAAGCAGACATTCAGAAACAGGCAGAAAGCAGTTTGTGGAGATCGCAGAACACACAGTCAAAAGACATGCAAAAAACAACTCACATCAAAAGCAAAGAAAATGAATGACAGGCCGAAAGTGGCAAAGTGACAGAAAAAATAAGGGATAAAAGGCACAAACGAACAAAGTCACAGACAGTCATAATGACAGACAGACAGACAGATACACAGAGAGAAAGACAACACATTAGCTTGAAAGCCAATAGGGAGCCACTATGCAGGGGGAATGCACTGTGACACACACATATACACAAAATAATCATTTAAAAAAGTGTGTTTGAGAAAAAATATTATTTATGAATGCTTAAATACTATTGGAAATGTCCACGCATTGCAAATAAAAAACTACTCCTCAGAGGTTCCCTCAAATGAATGCGAGTATCATGTTTTTTTTTCTTTTTATCCTTCCAGATATTACTCCCTTCCCTGAAATTGAAATTGTCAGCTGTCTGGCCGTCAGTAGTTTCAGTGTTTAGTTTTTTTTTGCCATTAAAACGAGAAAAGCCTACTGTGTCTACTGTGTAGAGAAGAGGTCTTTCATATTTTATGTCATGTCATTCCCAATAGACTTCCTTTCCTACTACCCATGCATATGGGAGGAACAGTGTGACTGTAAAGAACACTAATAGCCTTGAGTGAATATACCCTTAAACAGCCTCATATGAAAACAGCCACTGACAGATTAATGGGCAGTGAAAAGAGGTGGTAATAAATTGATCTGCGAAGTGTATCTAAAAACCCAACGTGTGTGCATGTGTATGAAACTCAAATATACAATAATCTGGCTCGCTAAATCTAGGCCACTACAAAACTTAACAACAGGTCAAATCTTACACCTGAATCATTTGCACTAGGAATTATTACTGAAACCAATGTAACTTAGATTTTCCATCATCTCCTTTATGACAAGTCAATTTAGCAAAGCCCAATAGGGGCCTGCAGCATAAATGTTAAATCGCATTATGCAGCGCTCAGCAGGCATGGCTGAAAAAGAGCATACGAAATAACGACAGCAGTGTCTGGGCACCCTAAGGTGTCAAAAGGAGAAATAGTTAGAATTGTAAACATCTAACTAGGCTAATATAGTAGGTACACACAGAACATGTGCCAGGCCAAAAGAAAAACGCATATCAAATAAAAAATACAATTTGAAATTGAGAATCAACCTCTCTGGGTCCAGTGTAACTATGGTGATGGAGATAAAAGGTTTTGTAATGAGCACCTTCTTCTCAGACTTAAACTGAATTGCATCACACCCTTTCACCAACAAGAGATTAAATAAAATGTATTACTGATTCATGGTACTGTAGAGTGGCACACTGTAGATTCTGCCAATATTTAGCTTTTCACATGCAGATAAATATCACCCTGCCTCAGGACGATGCCCCCCCCCCCCCCCCCCCACTTCTACCTGAGCGAGAACATAACCCAACGTCTCTCAGAGCTCCAACCTCCTCTTCTGTTACTCTAACCCTGAAGTCCTACACTGTTGTTCTTGAGAAAGCGTTTCACCACGAGAAACGTTGCATGACTCACCAGAACACCTTGTTTTATTTTAAAGAAATGTTATTGGCTATCTATTCCTCATCAGGTCGGTGCTTTAAGCTGTTTTCAGTCACTTTCAGTCATTTATTCCTTTTAAAGAATGTAGACAAAGGAAACCTTTAAACCGCGACATTTTATCATTTTCAATTACGCCATTTCTGTGTTCCAATTAATGATGCTTCATGTTGGAAGTGAAAGTTGAGTGTCACTTGTAGCTCTTGCCTTCCATTAGTGGAGATGAGTGATAGAGAGGCCGAATCCAGCAGACAGAGTTACAATTTAGCATTATTCACAGGGCAAAGACAAAAGAGGCTTCATCCTTAAATATTGTGTTCCATGAAGTGAATAAAATATATTTGTATGGGTGAAAATGTAAACTATGCACACAATTGTCATTACTTGTCTGTTTTGATTGACCACTGAAAAGGAAAATAGAGCCCTAGGCTAGCTTAGATTCTGGAACCATAGTGAGTGTCAATCAGAGTAAAAAATCAAGGTATGTGTGGCATGTTCTGAGGTCACATGTAGACGTGTATAGTGTCCTTACTGTAAGGTAATTATTATATGTACAGCACTTTGGCTCGACCAAAAACCGTTTTAAAAATGTGCTATATAAATACAACTTGATTTGATTAGACCACGGCCATCATAAACAACAAGGCAGAAAAAAAAAAGGAGTATAAAATGTTGATTTATACTTTTTGGCCAGCCACACACACACACACACACACACACACACACACACACACACACACACACACACACACCACACACACACACACACACACACACACACACACACACACACACACACACACACACACACACACCACACACACACACACACACACACACCACACACACACCACACACACACACACCACACACACACACACACACACACACACACACACACACACACACACACACACACACACACCTTTAAAACAATTAACCTGTTAAGCCCGAAGGTCCCCGTTTTTTTTGACACTGTGTCTCAGGGCATCTTAATATTTAAAAACCTATTAATGTGTTATACCAGATTAACGAGAAGATTCTCAGCTAACTGACGATACGAACCATTTTTACCGAAACAAAACACAAGTCTCACAAGAAGCGTTAGCATTAGCCCTTAGCTAAAACGGGCAGATGCTACTTCCGGTGCTAACTAGCAAAAACGATCTTTAAAACTTAATATTTTCTGCACAAACTACATATCATCTGAAAGCTGATACTCCACAGATTATTTTGTTATAAGTATCATCACTGTAGGACACAAACTCACTGAGCTAGCAGCCAGAACAGAGAAGAAAACAACAGTTTTCAAAACCATAACAATAATTATGTTTTACCGTTGCTGTTTTGTGATCAAAGCTCTTGTTCAAGGGAATAAAAACGTTGCTTAAGGTTAATCCAATGTCTCTTAGTCACTTTAGAATTGTTCCTGATAATCTATCATTACATTCATGGCAGCAGAGTAGGTATAAAGTTTCGCAGTCCCGAGCTAATGCTGTCTCACGTGCTGTTTACGCAAACCTCTCTCTACTTGACGTAAGTGTTTAGCGGGACTTACTAACTGTCACTCGATTCTATTGGCTCTAACGGTTCAGAAAAGGTGTCAATCACCCAAATCGACCAATGGGTTCTAAAGATATGATCCTGCATAGAATAAACTACGCCTGCTCCGGCTCCATTACGCATTACGCAGCCAGAAGGGAGAGCTTCACCACCGAGGCGAGCAGGTGCTAGAGATGCTAGCTGACGATAGCGGGGCTATGATCATACCAGATGACTCTTCGTCGGATGATGAAGATCTCCTCCAGCCAGACCTGGATCCGGACAGTAGTGACTCGGATGTTGAACTTCCACCACGGGAAAGGCATGTAATCTCTCTGTTTTTATATATTACTTATGTGTTTGGTGGAACTGCGTCACAGTGCTAGCTTAGCCAAGAAGCTACAGGAATGATTAGGCAAAATGCTAAATAGTGTTACTTTTCTTTTTGGAGTTACATTTTCTAAATGAATGGCCAGTGAATGAATATACATGTGTTTACTTATTTATTTGGTGTAATATTATTCATTTATAGTCCAATATTATCCTATAAGTATAAGCCAGTGAATTAATCTAATCTCTTTGTTTTTCCACATTTGTTAGATGAGGAGCAGCAGGACAAAGCCACACACCCAGAAGACTTTCAGGGAGCAGCTTGCTGCAGAATTGTTGGAGTTTGCTGAAGGCCCTGCTGAAGGCCCTGCACCTCCACCACCCCCTCCTCCACCACTCACATGCATGCCCGAGTATTATGGGGAAGATGCCACCAAGGTCAGGAAGAACTGCAGCAGGTGCCTAGATGCTGGACTCAAAAGGGTGAAGACACCTGTGTACTGCAGGAAGTGCCAGGTCCCTCTGTGCTTCACTGTCAAAAATAACTGTTTCAGGGAGTGGCACGACCTAAATACTGGAACATTCAGGTAGGTATAAAGTTCAGGTAGGTATAACGTTTTGCGAGTGTTTATTTAAAAAAAAATACTTGTTTTGATATACCTAGTGTTATTTTATTGTATAGTGTGTTGGTAAAATATTTGTTGTTTTTACAAACCTACAGTGTGGTTTTATTGTATAGTACGTTGGTAAAATGTTTGTTTTTACATGCCTATAGTGTGTTGGTAAAATGTTTGAAATAAATCTGCCCCAGTTGGAGTCAAATGTTACCTATGTTTCCGTTTTTTTTATTGTGCAAGTACACCTACACACAATGACCTACAGTGTAGTTTTATTGTATAGTGCGTTGGTACAGTTACATACACACACAGCTACACTTACACATACACACCTACACATACCCACACAGCTACACTTACACACCTACACATACCCACACAGCTACACTTACACATACACACACACACACACACACACACATTTTTAAAAATAATCTTTTTCTTTTTATTAAAAAAAAAAATGTTGTGGGTGGAATGAATACCTATAGTGATGATTCAATGTAATACAATGATTTGTATAGTCTGGTACCTGAAAAAGGTCAAATGGCACTGATGGAACCAAATGTGCCCAAAGTTTATTCCGCCTGGACTTTATTTTCATAAACCTCTCTAAAAAGGTCAAATGTCACTTGTTTTGCCTCAATCTTGATACAGGGTACTTATTATGTTATACTTTGGATTCCTAAAGCTTTTAGGCTACTAACCCATCATTCAAGGTTGGTCTTCACTATAAGTAATGGGTTTTATTTAGTTGGAGACAGGAATTTACATTTTTTTG